GGTTACTCAAAAAACTAGAACTAGTAATGATTCAGAAGACTCTGGTAAGTTCTTGTTTTGATTAATTCCTATTTTTCGCCTGATTTCTTTATGACTGTTTTCATTTTTTTTCTTACAGATGAGGATGATGATTTCCAAAAAAAGAAAGAAGTTTTCAAAAAACCCGCCTCGAGAAAAGTAACAAGAAGGAGAATTTGAATTGTATAAATTTATTTTTAATATTACTAATTAAACTAAAATATTAAAAATATTAAGATTCTTATGGATTTTTTTTTAATCTAACACTTCAATCGTAACCATTTGTACTACCTTATTTGGGGCCACTTCCGGAATAATCACACTTATATACTGATTTCGCTACCTGTGGGATAAAAAAAAATCTTATGATCAAATTGGAAAGACATTGTCAAGTAAAATTCCACATTAAAATAAAGTTTATTTCAGACAATGTAGATTATGACGTTACTCAGCGACTATTAAAACGGGATAGATGCTAGCTTAAATCTAAATTATTAGGTCGAATCCCGCGGTGGTGAAAATACAACAAGAATAGAGTAGACTACCTAATTATTAATTACAGTCCAAGAAAAAATAATGAAATGATTTTTTTATAAAGCGAATTTTTGAGAATAACAAAAGTATACTAAAAGTTTGATTACATGTTTGCCAAGGTGAGAACTCAAATTGTTAAGACTCGTACTTAAGAAATACCAATGAGTCAATTTAAATCTGTTCTATAGAGTAAATTAATAAATTATAAGATAAACATTTCTTTTTGTTTTAGTTTCATTTAGCTTTCTTATATTATCTTGAAAGTTTTCGCACGTTATAGTAATTTTAGCAATAACTTGACAAGTGACACTGTCATACATGTCTGCTGATGTTTTTGAATTTTGACATTCACTTTAGATAGAAAAACAATAATAATATCGTTTCATTGTAATTGTTTTAGATCATAAAACATATGACACTCATACTCCTTTAAAGTTTAAACGAAATACCTTAATTATAGAGAAATCAATTATTTTTATGATATTTAAAACAATTAGTTATATGTACCATAAAGTGTTATTTTGCTCTTTTATATTAAATGTTATAAAACCAACATCGCTTACGATGTCTGTTCATATCAAGTGTCGTAGTCGATTGTACCCTCGTTCTAGTATTGAAAGATTCATTGTGCCAGATAATAAAGTTCCTTGGTCTGTGGAATTTAAAGAATATTGTCCAAAAACTTATAATGCACCTTCAATTCAAGGCAAACCCTGGGCAGATCCAGATATTAGTAAGGAAATGAATCAAATTGTGGAAAACAAAATTTACTAAATAAAATATGGTCAAGTGTATACTTAATTGTAGGAAATCCTAATTTCACACCAAAATGGAATGACATAGACGGACATGTGAATAGGAAAAGCTACACAGGCATTTATAAAATTATTGATGGAGTGCCACTGAACCCTGCTGGTAGGACTGGTATATCAGGAAGAGGAGTTTTAGGCCGATGGGGACCCAACCATGCAGCAGATCCGGTAGTTACTAGATGGAAGGATTCAAATCAGTAATAATTCTATTAGTTACATAAATTGACTTTAATGAAATTAACTATTGTAGTGATATGTTAAATTATTACAAATAGGTTAAATTTATGTTAGATGATTCTTTCAGTTCCATCCTTCAATTTGTGGCAATAAAACGTAGAGATACAGGTGAATGGGCTCTTCCTGGCGGCATGGTGGATCCCGGGGAGAAATTTGCAACAACAGCTATAAGAGAATTTCAAGAAGAAGCTATGAATTCCCTTGAAGCATCACAAGGTATGTTTTTTGCATTTATTTTAACGAAAATATTCTTCATCATCAACATGAATAATGCAAGTAATTTTGTATTAAGACAATTACACATCTAATTTAGAAATATTCTTTCCTGAATATGAGTAAATTTTATTTAGTAAGTTGTGTATTGAATGAACCATTAATTGAAAAAAATTAATGGTTTAAATCTAATTAATATCTTTGAATTTTATTAGGTGTATTATAATAATTATAATTAAGTAATTATATGTAACAAGACCAACTGACAGACATTCATATCTCGCATGACCATAATCACAGTTGCTGAAAAGTAACCGAAACATCGGGAGTATGTCGTTTTAACAATAATAAAATACGAATCTGAAAAATATTCGTTTAATTTAAGTGAATACTGGCAAAAGTTTTTGATTTCATTAAAATGAATTATTGACTATTAATTGTAAATTTAATATAATTATGAAATTTTTTAGATGAGAAAAACAAGTGGGTGGAAAAATTCAAAGATTTCTTCAGTAGTGGCGTTGAAATATACAGCGGCTATGTAGATGATCCTCGTAATACTGACAATGCTTGGATGGAAACAACAGCTTATAATTACCACGATGAAACTGGCACAACAGTTGGGGCTTTAAATTTAAAAGCTGGTGATGACGCTGTAGGCGTCCAATGGGTTGATATAACGCCTATTTTAAATCTTTATGCCAGTCACAAAGACATAGTTAATAAAGTGTACAGAACCATAATGGATTCAAGAGAATAAAAATGCTTTACATCTGAGTCTTACCTTTATTTCTAAAATAATTTCTGTAGTTTACATACCACAACGAAATAATTCATTTACAATAACCGGTTTTACATTAAAGACTAACCTGTATATACATATTGAAATGTAAAGCACGAAAACAAAATATTAATAGATATATGTTAACCGTTTTATGACAATATATGGTTACATTTTAACAAATGTGAATAAGTACTTAATTCATGTTGTAAAAACTACTTTTAACCCCGCCCTTGTTGGTGTGTTCAGATTGCATTATAAATGTAAATTTTACAGATTTACTGTGCAATAAATAAATCTGATTCACTTAAATATATTTAATAGTTTGTTTTTGTAACCAAACAGAAACTGCTATTATTGGTAAGTCAAACCTGAACAAGTGAGAAAACGGTTTTAAAAGTAACAATTACAAGGAAGTGTGTCTTAATTACTGTTTTTGGACATTTGTGAAATAATCATCTAGTATGATACATTTGCTATAATTGATAAAGGTCAGAAGAAAACACAGGTAGATAGTATCTAAAGGTAGCAAAAAGAAAAATTAAATTTGGGTGTCTCACAAAGTAAGAAATGAAGAACGAGTTGGTTATACCAGAATTCAAATATTGTAAAATTTAAGTCAAAAGGATAAAAATGACATTATAAAAAATATATTTCGAAGAGACAAGATCAAATTGGAAATTAGGAATAAACAGACTACGATCTAATGGAAAATTGAATAATTTCTCAAGTTTAATAAAAAAAATGACTTCAGAAAAATCTTTATCACTGTAATGAAAACAGTACTTTCTGTAGCTCTTTGAGAAAAAACTTGGGTTATTGAGAAACCTCCACAATGGAAAATTGTCGTTCATCGAATTCTCACTTCTTCAGATAAGACAATATATTATTATAATATTAATAAAATGAAGGACAATTTTCTTGTCTTCAGGTGCTATAATTTAACTCATTTGATGTTTGTTACAATAGTCAACTACCTAGACTACATATATAAATGTTTATTACCCATATATAACACAAGAACTATGAAAAATGAAAATACGTAAACTTCCTACCAGAAAGAAAATGACACATAGACAAATGGTGAAAACATATATATGTACACATATAAATATATATACATATATGTGTAGATATTTTGAAAATTTTTAAATTAAAAACAATAAAATTACATACTTCGACCCTTCTAGATTAACAAGTCACTGATTTTCACTTTCTACATTACACTGGTAGTGTGCACCATTTGTAATTAATTGATCATTTAATGCTTGTCGAATATTATACATGGTGACTGGTGAATTACTATCAATATTTAAGGAGCATACTCGGTACATGATTCTCATTCGAATTATGTAAAACAAATAGGTACTTAATTTTTTACCAAATTTCCGTATAAATAAATAAAGTGTGTACACGTTCCAAGTGTTCCAAGTGTGAACGCGTGCGGCGGCGTGCTGATACAACAACACGCCGCCGCGCGCGTATGTGTGTGTGTGTATACCTAATCTGTAGGGTGTTCATACGATGCGTAATTAATTACATAACTTTTGGTAAACTTTACTTAGAAGTTTATTAATATTTATGTTATATTAATTTTTATTTTGTCGTATATGATCGTCAAATATCACGTCCTCAAATATCGATAGTAATTCACCAGTCACCCTGTATACTAAAAATATCAGATCTATTTATAACAAACTTACCCTGCATATAAAACTACAAGCAACTTAGTATAACATTAAAATGCATATAGGAAACATAAAATATAATGACACAAAATTTTCCTCTTGTGTATTTTATTACTGAATTACAATAAAATGATATATTTTAAAATGTATATTCCAACATTACTTTGAACATGTTTGGGAACAAACTTAAAAAATAATAATTCTTTTGATGTAACGAAAATTAAATGCATTTAAATTGAAAATACATTACAATATTAAAACTTGGTCCCATATACATAAGGTGTATTTATTCAAAAGGTTAAACTACCCTCAAATATCATTAGGACATACAACATGTATATTCCAAACACCTTAATTCTTTCAAATATATGCATGGCAATTCTAATATTAATATGCTTAAATAATAATTTGACTAGTAACATTTATATAACAATGCAATTTTTCCCAAAAGTCAAATTATAGTGCTTAGAAGTCTACATGATACCTAAGTTAATTATAGCAATCATAAAATGCAACATTCTATAACAAAAGTAATATATTTAATTTAAAATATATGACTCTATTGATAAAGAACAATAAATGATTATTGCCTTCCATACATAGTCAGTCAATATAACCCAAAGTAAGGAAACGGGTTTTTAATTAAATTTATACATACAGTCATAAAAGTATATAGAACCATAGAGTATTCAGGACAGCCACAATTATTTTTCTTGTCTATGGCCCCATTTCATTACACCCAAGTGACTGATATGCTCTGTAGCAGTTAACGTCATTCATAAGTTTCAAAATATTTTGTGTAAATGTTGGTAGATCCTGAAATAGACAATAAATTTTGTATTAATTAAATCTGGATTAATTTCAATGTAATATTTTTATTTATTTAAACATTGTGCAATAACCTATTAACAAACTTTTTTCAGTCAGTAACAGGAAATAGTTTTAAATAAAATTGAGAAATAGTGTTTTAGTAGCTAAAAATATAAGGCCAGAAATACACTGTGAAGACATGTTACTTGTTTCTTTTAACCCAACTATGTAAACATAATCAATAATATTCCAATATTAAAATTCAAACCTCGTTATAATATGGCAACACATTAAGGAACCTATGTGGTTAGGTTTAAAAGGACTCGTATCCACAGCCGTAAAAATATTTACAAAAAAAATATCTATGTGGTTTTGACTTAACGATATCGATTTTTTTCTCTAGTATGTACTTTCTCTAGTCAGTGGTGGCCTAGTGGTTAGAGGGCCCGCCTCTCGTTGCCGAGGGCGCGGGTTCAGACCTGGCAAGTACCAATGTGATTTTCAGAGCCATATGTACTTTCTGAAAGTATATAGACACCACTGACATACGGTGAAGGAAAAACATCGTGAGGAAAACTGGACTTATAGTTTCACAATTATAAGTTTGAAATCAATCCGTCTTGAGCAAGAGTGGTGATTAATGCTCAAACCTTCTCCATGTGAGAAAGAGGTCTTTGCTCAGCAGTGGGCTCTGATAGGCTGATGATGACGATGTACTTTTAACAGGGCCAGTAATATATAATTAATATATCATACCGTATCCGGCGGAAAGTCTGCCAACATCTGCGCGTGTTGCTGGTCCAAGCCTGGCATAGAGCGTAGGAAGTGAGGCAGAAAGGCGTGTCGGAAGGCGTTGAAGTCAACTACAGCCATGGCATGCGCCGCAGAAACTGCCTCATCACGTAAAAGAGCTCGAGCTCCGCCCTCCGATAGGCCGGAAACCAGTACTGATAGAAATTCCCCCATGAACTCACTACGGAATAACGCCTGAAAAGATATAGCAATAATTTAGTGCATGTTCATGTTATACAATAACAATGTTACATAATAATAGTTTTTTATATATTGTATAGTAACAATTGAAGATACTGATACCATTAAGCAATAACAACAAATAGGTCACTAAGATTTTAAGAATGAAAGTTTGTATTGATATTGGGTTTTTGAAACTGTGTCTAGCATAAAGTAGACAAAAGATTTTTGAAATCTTAATAATTCATCAACACTGAAAAACATTGCTTGTGTATGAAAATAATACAGTCTTTAATTTGTCCCGGAATCGCATATAGCATCAAAGAAATTAATATTTTTCGAATTACATATGTACTACGACTATTTTATTATTTTTGAAAACTACATACATCCCGACGTTTCGGATTATTTGCAGCCATCGTGATCACGGCAGACATCTCGTGTGCCCGCGTACATACGCGTATTTTATAATTAATCCGAAAATATTAGTTTAATTTAAATGAATACTCGCAAATGTCTTAGATCACATTTTTGCATTTAGTTGCTAATAGATATATTGTATTTTTAAAACTACCTTTAAGAAGTTAACGACAGATGTCGCTACATGTTTCTCACAACGATTATATACACATAGACCACATTATTTATACGTCGAAAGTAGTCTTACAACATTACCTTATGGTATAACTTCCACTTGGTGTTCAACACGTCGAGCGTGTTCAGTGCTATCCTCAGTAGGTCAATGTCCTGTGAGAGTAGCGCACCCCCTAGCGCGGTGAGAGCTCCCCGCAGTTCATCCGAGCGTCGTGCACCCTCAGCACCCTCCACACCAACCCCCGAGCCGGGACCCGTGGGGAAGAAGTACCGCCAACGATGAACCAACACACTGAACATACATACACAAGCTTTTTGTTATTGGACTGAATGGTTTTTACCATGTCATATTTATTTTTGCAAACAACCTCCTCAGCTTTATATTACTAGCTTTCCACCCGCAGCTTCGCCCGCGTGGAGTTCGGTTATATCGCGTTTCCAAGAGAACCTTTCAAAAATCTGGGATAAAAACTATCCTATGTTCTTTCTCAAGGTCAACTCTATGTCTGTACCAAATTTTATTAAAATCAGTTCAGTGGTTTAGGCGTGAAAGCGTGACAGACAGATATACAGAGTTACTTTCGCATTTATAATATTAGTAGGTATTAGTATAGATAACTATTTAAAATAATTAATTTTTTTTTTGGACATTGAGATCAGAGTAATGTTTACATATTAATACTATTAATGTTACTAGATTATATATGTTCTTTTTTTTTTTTTTTGTTATCGCGGTGAAAGGTTTTATACCTACCCCTCCGTCTAGGGGAGACAGAGGCGGTTATGTGGGATTCACGGCCAGAAGGGCCCATGTTACCCACTAAAACACCAGCGGTCACTCTCCGTTGCCGCCAAGTGGATCGCCACGGGAAACGCCGAAGCATGCATCCGCGACGATCCGGCGGCGGGCCGCGAACGGCCACCTCCCCCCCGAGGGCTCACTCCAAGTGACCAGGAGTGTCCCCCCGCCTGGCGGGCTTGCTTAATCGCGAGAGGGTTAACCCCTTACCCCTCCCACCCAAGCCCACGCGGCCAGTCTCCAACCACCCACCGACGAGCGCAAGCGCCCGACGGCAGACAGAGAGGAAACCGACCGACCACAAGCGAACTCAGGCCTCCGGAGAGACCCGAGTATCCCCTCCCCCCCAAGACAGCCACGGACGGCCTCCTGCCAGATCCGTGACCGTCTTACTCCCAGGGCTGTACCCCCAGCCCTCCCCCCCGTGACTGATTGCACCGGAATACACCAGTGGGCGATGGGGTCGTCACGTCCCGACGCCGGAGATTATATATGTTCTAACTCAGTGCATGATAATAACAAAGAAATAATTTAGATCTTCACTGGGATCTTAACTGTACAAGCTATCAGATTGTGGAATAAACTTCCACAAGAAATTAGAAAGGCACCTATTAGGGCATTTTTCAGGCGTCGTTTACACGAACATCTTGTTAAGAAACTGTGTTAAGTTTCTGTTATTATTATTGTTTTTTGTATATATGTATTTGTACGTGTGCGTATGCATATGTATGAGTATGTATATCTATGTATATCTATATATATATGTGTATATATTATTTATATATCAATATAAATTTATACGTGTATTTTAACTTTTATTGATACCGTCTTCACGATTTTCTGTTTTGCCTAATGGTTGACTGGTAGAGAATGCCTTCAGAAGTCCGCATTTTGTGTGTACGTTATTGTAGTTGGAAAAAGTTTTAAATAAATAAATAAATCATTTCAATTACCTGGCTAGTAGTCTGTGTGCCGCTCTTGCGAGTGCTGGCGAGTGATGCGTGGCTCGCGGCAGTACATGTATTTGCAGCAGTTCCAAAACAGCAGTGACCCTTACACCGCCGCCTCCCGCCTCAACTCCTAGACGAACACACTCCACGAGCCTCTCAAGACTGCCTGAACTATCGCCTGTCTCCCTGAAAGAAATAAACATCGCTGTATATAATAAAAATAAACTTTATTGACTCAAGGATTACATAACAATCAAATTGCAAGGGTACTGAACTAGGTGCATACCCGTATTACTGGGTGCCCCGAAACGTATATGACGTTTATTTAGTGGTAAAGGTTGTAACCGAGCAGATACTTTGATGTTAATGGAAGCTTACATGAATTATGCCATAGATATTCAAAAATTTTAGTAAAAAAATAAACAAGAAAGCTTGTTTCTTGAAGTCATGATTATTGTATTGTCTTCCTTACATTTTTAAAACGTCAAGTCCTAAGTTAGTTTTTGGATATAATACTGAATATTATATTATGTTTAACCAAAGTTAGTATTACATAGGTATTTTTTTTATGCAAAAGGGGGCAACCGTGCAGACGGCCTACCTAATGGAAGTAGTACCTTCGCCTATGGACATCCGAAATGTAAATTTGCGGATTTATTGCCCCCCTTGATTGGAGTAAGTGGGGGAAAGGGTGGGAAAAGGGAAGTGCACGTAATAAACACCTATATAATTTTGAAACGAATTTTTCTTTGAAATGCTTACAAATGAAGCTATGGTGTATGTAGGAGTAGGTATGTGTATTGACATAATGGATGTATGTTTTAAGGTAAATTTTGCGAAGCTTAAGTTTCTGACACGGACTTACAAATTGTAAGAGCATAACGATGTAATTTAACTAGTCCAGGGCAATTATAAGGTCATAATCTCAAACAACACTAGTTTGTTAAAATATAAATATGTATTTTTTTATGAGTTATTAGTTTTTTCTGAAGGTAATTAATTAATTATTTTATTAAATTATAATAAAATATATACCTTTGAGCGACTTCAAGGAACACGTCTATGGCGGTATATGCAAAGCTTCCCAACTGTGGAAGCAGAGCTGTGAACAGTGCTAGGAAGAAATCCGTGATTTCCGACTCAGAAGTAGAGTACACTGGATCACACAGCATGCGCAACGCGCTCTCAGCGGCCGAAGATATACCCTCCGCTATTATCTGAAATATAGATGTGGTTGGTTATTTTAATATGGCCATCATAAAAAAAATACATGAACGAATTTTTGATGGGTCAGTACTAAAGATTATTGACAGATGACGTTGACATTTTAAATAATTTTGGACGAAATATTTTACATAAATTGATATATATTGTATTAAATTTCTCTTCTGCTATATTGAAGTAAAACCTGACTGATTGAGAAAGTTCATCTTACCCACACGTATCTGTATGACCACACTTTAAAAAAAGTGCACCCAAACATATGAATAAAGAAATATTATATCTGTTCACCTTTATTTTTGGGTATTAATTCTAAATATAAGATAAATTGGAATAGAAGATAGGAATTAACTATTTAAGTTACCATCACAATGTTATATACACGAAAATATCAAACAATCAAGAAATAAGTTATTATAAGTTTTATATATACCTTCTTAGAGTGAGTGCTGGCTCCAGCGAAGGCGTGCAGCAGTTCAGTAAGGGGAGGCAGCACGGCCGAGGGTCCTCCGTTCAGCGAGCCCCACGCACCCAGCAGCCCGCGAGCAGCCTCGGGACGACATAGGGACAAACACACCAGGGCCTCACGGACTACGCTACCAGTCTAGAAATATTAAAAAATTTAGATTAAGATTTTGTTACACAGATATGATATGAAGAAAGAAATATACTAGACGCGTTACAGTATTTGAGACCAGACATCAATGCTATTTATGACTTAATGAATGTGACCGTCAGAACCGGGAGGTAAGTACATATATGTCCAAATATCAATTGTGTCAATGTCAATTCTGCAACGAACGTAATGATGAAAGTTTGGTTAGTAATACATACGATATAATATCCTGCGATGGAACTGCTAACTTCACGAAACAAATCACTTTATTTAGCAACTTCACAGCTTTTTGCTTGGATATTATATTGTTCTTTACCGTTTACATCATAATCGTTATCTTAATCCCGTTGAGATTTAGACGCCAATATAAAAAACAATATTGATGAGAATCATTGAATTTCTTTATTAGGCCACAAAATTTAATTGTATAAAGATTATTTTCGGAATTGACTCGACAAAGATATCAAAAATATGATGACGAGTTAAGACAATGCGGTAGATGAAATAAGAATAAACCTGGACAACTACACAATTTCTGAAGTTAAACGGCAATTAAAGACATGTCCGTTAAAGATCAAGATTATAGTTAATTTTAAACATATAAATATATTTAATTTTTAAATGTGTTTTTAGTCCGAAAAAAATATGAAAATATACAATTTACCCGTCACTTCACTGGAATAACCAATAACTAGGTTTTGGCAAAATTTATTATAATAGAATTTTTCTTTTTCGTCAAGTCACTTTCTACGCCCGCCCCACTGTTCACTTATCGCAGGAGACTAGCATAAACTTTACAAAATATTCCTACTTTTTTGCATAAGAGCAGTACATGCGTACTAAAAAACAGGGCGTAGTAGGTACGTAATCTAATTGTAAATTTACGTTTGGTTGATATAAAACTAACATTTTTCGAATTACTACGCATTTATAATTATTTTTAACTACATACTAACGGAAACATTGGGAGTAAGTAGTTAAAAGTGATTATAAACGCGTAATAAATATGAAAAAAAATATTAGATTTACTTCAATGAATACTCATGAGTCTTAAATCTCATTACCTTCGGTTCTAAGTAGTGCAGTGAACGCTGAGCGTGGTTGTAGAGATCACCCAACATCATGATAGGGTCCGTTGTGAACTTGACGTTCTTTGACAAGCTCAGAAGGAGGTGTGCAGCCGCGTGGCAAAGTAGAGGGGGCTCCTGGGAATATGAAACAATAGGATATATTTAGTTCAATATTTTTGTACACACATATACCTTTATATAAAAATGTATATGTGAGTAATTCTTGAAATTATGAAATTTCGCACAGATATATGTATAACTAAAGACTGCGATATTTTTTTCATCCCCAACCAAGTTCAGATTAATTATTTTATTCGTTATATAAAAGCAAAATATAGAGCTATAGATTATTTTACCGGTTGTTCGTGAGGCACCAAGAACGGCAGTGCAGCAGCGAGCAGCGAGTCCATAGTCCTTAACGGCACACCACACTCACTGGCGTAGCAGCACCAAGCACCCATACACGCGAACATCTCCGCCTGACTGAGGAGGAATATAATTCTTAGTATATATAAGATGTAATAATTATCAAGACTGGCATTCAATACTACTAATATTATAGTTGCGAAAGTTTGTGAGTGTGTATGTATGTTTGTTACTTCTTCACACTCAAACGACTGAACCGATTTTGATAACATTTTGTATACAGGATGCTGACGTCCAGGAATAACACATAGGCTATTTTACATCCCGGAAATCCGCGGGTAACACCGCGGGGCGCAACTAGTTCTACATAAGAATAGAGTAATCGTGGTCAACTGCTTTGTTTAAAAAATTGCCAACTTCTATGAAAAGTGGCTTATATATTAAATTCTTGTTAATAACCACGATATACAAGATATCTATCATTATTATATGCAGATCCTACAACTGGACTATCAAGTAGTATAAAGTAAGTGACTTACAGAGTAATGTATGACTTACAGAGCAATGTGCGCAGAGGCAAGCGGCGGGCCGTGCGTGCGGTGGGGACGTGTGAGTGCTGCACCAGACAGAGAACTGGCACACCTCTCCACAAGAGCAGCACCCGCGGCACAAGCAGCACTCGAACCATCAGACTCTGAAGACATCACATATAGAATGAAATTCAGATATAATATATACAAAGAATTCAGTTATACAGACAGAATTCTAATCGGCAACGTTCAGAAATCAGAATATGTCTTTCCATTTGTAAATGTTGCTAGTTGCTACAGCATGTATGAACTTCTGAGGTGTAGAAACCTCCTTTGTAAATACTAATTGGAGTATAAGTTAAATATTGCTTTAATGTTAAAAATATGTACACATATGATTGATTGATTGATATGATTTGTATCTGTTAGAATATTTTATATGTGATCCAAATTTGACTGCAAGAATTATATATAGGTATTAAAATCTGATATTTAAAATTTGTTTACTTCAAATTTCTAGAAACAAAAAAAATATAATTGATAAAAAACACTAGTTAACTGAATTCATGTTCAGTATGTTGTTGTTTTTTTATGTAAAAAGTGGCAAACGAGCAGACGGCCCACTTGATGGTCAGTAGTGACCTTCGCCCATGGGCATCCGCAACATAGATGTTGCGGATACGTTGCCAATCTTACTTGTGGAGGAAAGGGGAGGGGTGGGAATAAGGAAATACAAGGAAAGGTTGGGTACAGGGAAAGGGCAATGTTCAGTATGATATGTAATTATTAGTACCAGCTAATAAGGCTGGAGCAAGTCTTCCCAAAAGCCGTGTGAGCGTAGCGAGGTCAAGTAGGGCTGCCAACAAGCGATCCGCTTCAGCCGGGGCCGACACTCGCACCCCTACCGAAGACCTAGCGTGAACACCGGCTAGACACTGCCAGCGCTCCATCTAGGAAAAAACATATTTTTACATACATATATTAAAGGTTTCTGATGCATGTAAGAATTGCGAGCACCTGGAAGAGATATACTCAAAACAATAACTCATTAGTTAAGGCTTACTCGAGCATTAATGTGGGATATTTGTTAGAGCATTGGTCCAAAATACACACACATTATCAAGGGGTATGCTAATGGTTATTGTGCGGTCAAGCTTGTGCTCATAATATTAATATTAATTCAAGGTCTTTGTTTTAGTTTTAAGTTCTTATTTGTCTATTTGTAGTGTAGTAAAGTATGAGTGTTTGTAAAATTGGAATATGGTTCTGGAAATAAAGTGATTTATTATGAAACATAAATTATTTTTTTTTACTACATGGGCTTTAACTCTTCCAAGGATTCTAACTACTTTTGATATTATATCTAAACAGGAAAACAAAGTTAAAGGTTATTTGAGCGGTAACATCTTCTCTTTATTTTAATTAAAAACTGGCAATACTCTTTTCAATGTTTCTAGTAGTTAAAAACCTTATATTGCACATATGGTTAGAAGCAAATAAAGAGTATATATGAAAAAAAACAAATGACTTTGTTTTTATTGCTTTAACTCGCAAAGCTTTATTGACTATCACTATTTGGAACTGAGTGTCGATAAAAATATATTTTATCTTATAAATATTACAGAATCTAAAGTGAAAAAAAAAATCCTATCTTTACTAAAGAACATCTAAAACCAAATAAAATTAAATCTTGCTCTTAAATTGCAATTTACTTGTTAGGTTTATAAAAGTTATAATTTAAGCGAACAAATCCAGAAGAAAAACTTAGTCTAACGAAAACCAAAACCACTGTTAGTTGAAGGCCTCGGCCTCGAATTTTGCGGGCAGCGGAGCGGCAGCGGGAGCGGCAGGATCTTACGCGTATAATCAAATGGACCGACCCTCGAATACAGCGGTGCCCGCTGCCCGCTAGTTTGGAGAACAGTATGCGTTTCCGTGCCGTCGCCGCCGCCGCTCCGCTGCCCGCAAAATTCGAGGCCGAGGCCGAACACTTACCACAGCAGTGAAAACATCCAATGGTGCAAGATCAGCAACCCGAGCTATACATTCAATACAGTGTTTGAGGAATGTTTGCCATTCAGTTTCACCCTGGAAGCATTTGAATACAATTTATATGATGAACTATTCAAATATACATATGTATATATATACATATATATAAAACTTACATCATCATCACAAACATCATTATCCAAATGCTGCAACTGGGCTTTGTTATGTTGGAATTGTATCTTATTGAGTACACCATTCACTAGCGCTTGCAGAGCCTCCCAATATCTAGAGAATATTATAGTAATATAATTTCAATGAATGTTCATATGAAATCATTAAATATTTAAATATATCTTACTTAGATGTATCTTCAGGCTTAAGAACATCAATAAACTGTATCCATATATCTAGACAATTGACAAATGTACTACATTTAGGCACCTGAAAAGAAATAATATAATGTCAAATACAAAAAATACTTTTGGCAAAACAAAGGTTTCCTATATAAAAATAAAGTAAATATTACCTGGAATGTATACTGAAATAAATACGAAAGGAATTCTATAGCATCAAACTCAGGCTCGGCTTCCAATCTTTTGAAATGCAGTGACACAAATAATTTCAGAAATTCTGCTAACTTGTTTAAGTAACTGAAAGCAAATATTGTAATTAAAGATAAAAAATCCATCAACTATTACGAAAATTCTATTTTCAATATCTTCACAATATTTTATACAAATAACTGATTTAAAATACTGGCAGTATTATATCTATTCATCATTTATTTCGATTCATTTAATTACTATACAGAATTTTATTACTATACAGATATGTACATCATATGAAAATTTACATATACAATATAATATGTGTATGTGAAAATGTTTTGTATACTAAGTTATAGAGGTGTAAGTCTTCTTCTTCTACCTGGCAATTTTCCAGCTTTAGCCAGGGTCTGCCCTATGTGTTGTGAATATTTTTGGGTAATTGTTTTAACGACCGGCCGCCTGCCTGACATCAACCCTCTTTGGGAATGCATTAATCAGTGTCTAAATACTCTTAGAAAGTACATATGACTCGGTGTAAGTATGTGGTAAAAAATATACATACATATTTACAAGTGCGTTCATACTGGTTTAAATGTGTTGTATATACACAAACATATAGCTAAATTCTCAAACCTCTTTACTTTGTGTATTTTGTAAGATATAGTTTATACATACTCTATCGGTGCTCGGTGCATGTGTGTGTTATGGTGAGCCAGATGTCTCAACAGTCTTAAGGAACAGTGATGCAGTCTTAGGGCAGTTGCTGCCGAGGAAGGTGGTGCGTATCGACGATACAACAACTCACATACACCACCAAGCCCCGCCAATGCTGCCTCCACACTCTGAACAGGGACAAACATACATGTTACATCAAATGACATCTACTTTTGCGAGTATTAATTTCGATGAAACATATTTTCCTGATTATTACGCGTATATTATTGTTAAAAAAACTAAAGTACCAACATTTCTTTTACTTTGCAGCAAGCATGATCGTCAACAGTTACATATCGTCGGAGCATTATAACAGTGTTCATTAATGCAAAATGAATTTAAAAGAAGACTATGGTCATTACATAAACTAAAGAATAGAACCTTCAATATCAAGTAAGAAATTATTACATTCAAAGAACAGTCAGTGTTAGTGATAAAGTTTGCTGTTAAAATGGAAATGAGGAAGACAAGTTGCGTTAAAACCAAATCATCTCTTTGAAGAACTTTCTTGATTTAGAATTAGCTTTTTTGAGGGTCAATTTAATCCATGAATAAGAGTTACTAGAACTAAACCTTTAAAATTGTATATAATATTAGTTAAGTTTGGACATGCTTTGGAAGTAAATGTACAACAGTTGATATATAGTATCTAAGATCTATACATTCTGATTGAAATAAAGGCATTTCTTTGTTACAGACAGAAAAATTCTATAAATTGTTTATTTTTTGACTAGGGCACATAATATTTAAAAAATAAAGACATTAATAGTTTTATTATGGAATGTATATAATATAATTTCCATTACCTGCGACTGTGTGGCAACACTGCCCCAATAAAAAACTGTGGTTACGAGTGATGGAGGGACATGTGAAGACAATGGTAGCCATGAAAATAAATGCTGTAGAGTTGTTAGACATTTCACTACTATATCCATATTCAATGCCCTAAAACATATATAAATATTTATAATTTCTTTTAAATATTAATAAATTAGATTCTATGTCTAATAATGGTGACATGTTAATAAATTATTATGTATTACCTATCACCCGAGTGTACATCATGAGCATTGGCCAGTAGATCAGGCAAAGCAGAAGATTGTGGTAAGCCACTGGTCGGGGAAGGAGGAGGATTTGATTGACCTTCTTTTTGAGCATTCTTCTCTAATATGGCTGTAATATATTTACAAATAAGTTAAAACTTCTAAAACTTGATTAAATTGATGTTGTTCATTTGTTAAGCTTCTACATTCAATTTAAAGCTAGTTCGAATTAAAATAATAATCAAATAAGTCAGTTATTACTTATTATGGATATAAATATATAGTCATAGATAAAAAAATAGTTTTTATAAACAAACTAACCACTTAGAGCATTTAACATTTGTGGCATTCCTTTCAACATAAGCCGTTCTAACTGGCTTCTACGAGCAGATGGCAGTAGTACCCCTGTATCTCGTGCCGCACCCAACTCCTCACTAGCAGCTTGAGCGAGCACTAGACCCACGATGCATTGATGACCATCACATTTTAATAACTAGAAGGAAATTTATATTAGTTTATGTTTGTTCTAGCTTAAGTTTTTAATATTATATAAGTGTTGAATACATAGTATTTAAGTTTTTAATATTACTTAAGAGTGTATTACTTTGTTTTTAATTTAACAGTGCTGTAAATGCCTGTAGTGGTGTATCACACTGCGCTGGTCTGTGTACTGTTATTACATAAGTGTTATTGTGAATATGCCGATGGTGTTTTAAATAAATTAAATAAATAAATAAATTCGTTGAAATGTTCTTGTCAGTAAAACATATGACATCATAATGTATAAAGATTTTGTTAATGGTATGAAGATATTTGTCATTAAGAAAAAAGGTGTGTATAAAAAAATGAACTTATTTATTAACATAGATTACAAAGATTTGCTATCTAATTAACTACAAAATCCATGAAACATTAAAAAAACTTTATTACAACAGTATTCATTTGGTCGTTGATTCTTAAAGTTTTTAAATAATTTGAAAAGGAATGTTGTTAAATTCTTGACAATTTATAAACCAATTTCTAGATTTATAATACATATTTACCTCTACAATATTACTGAAGAAATCTGGATAGAGATGGGGCCAATCATACCGAGCTATGGCAACAAGGAGTGCAGCCAATTTGTTTCTAATGAAATATAACATTACTTCATGTTTGGTCATGAGTTCATTCATCAGTGTAAGCCTTATTTCTGTCTTCTCATTGTCTGATAAATGAATCCACTGCCTATTTATTATTTTCTGCAATTGACAAACTCATTTACATACAATGTTGAAAACTTTATTTTGAGAACAATATATGATTAGCATTACTATTGAGTATTGACATAACTGAGTATCCCTTTATAGTGTCTTATAAAGTGGTACATAAAATTAATATACAAGTATATGTATTTATATCTTCTTCTTCTACCTGGCAATTTCCCAGCTATAGTCAGGGTCTGCCTTACTTGTTGTGTATAGTTTTGGCTAATTGTTTTTACGACCGGCCTGCTCAACATCAACCCTCTTTGGGAATAAATATATGTATTTATATATGTGTATAAATATTCTTACCTCCAGTGTTGTTAATATAAACATTAAAACATATTGGTTTTGTGACTTTTGTAGAAACAATAAACAATGTTTCCATGAATCTCTTCGATTTGCGAAGTTTTCAAGAATGTTTTCGATTTCCCTTTTTCTAAAGTTATTAGTTGTGTGAGCGAAAAACTCGGACATCAAAATCTCCAAAGAGGACAAAGCCTCGTTAATTTCAAAGTCGGTCTAAAATTATTAAATAACTATAAATATTTAAAAATTACAGAACAATTCAAAATTTTTATTATGTATTATTATTATTATATAAAAGGCATTAAAAAATATTTTAACATAAAGTACCTACATAATAATGGTACATACCATGGTTACTTAGTTCAGACTTCAAGAAAATTTACATAATGAATTAAGCTGTAAATAACAGCTTCAAGAAGACAGTGTATGTGTTCTTTTTATAACAATTTAAGTTTATGTTAGTAAAAGTACGCAGACAACCATTAAAAAATAAAATCGACTAAAGATAAAAATTGTATCTTAGACATATAATAAATATGCCATCAGCTGTCAAATGTCATTAATGTCTCGAGACCTCGAGTCTTCAGAAATCACATTTTCTATTGGCTGGATGGTACCAAGCAAATAGAGATATAACAACAGATTAATAATAATGAAATGCAAGTGATATGTGACCTGAAATTAAAATATAAAAAACGATTGATATTTTCTTATACAAAAAAAAATATGATTATTAAAAAAATTGTACAGTTAAAAAAATCTTATAAATTGATGAGTATTCGAAAACTTTTATTAAATAAATATATTTTAACGATGAATAAACAGTGACAACAATATTTTGTTAAATAATATGAACTAAAAATAATGTATTTAGCATTTAGTCCAATAATAAGTTATGGATTTTAATATCGATGAATTTAAACATATTTCCATTTATGAAGTTCAGGCAACCCGTAAAAATTTACTACCTGCTTGAATGTATTGTATGCGCAATTTCATGAATTATTAGAAAATACTACCACAATACTTTCTTTTAATTGAATGTTAAATTGAATTGAACTCTTAATATACACAATAAAACACTACAAAATATTGTTTTTTAAGTTATGATTGTTAATTATTGGTAAACTAAGTAAAACGTTTGTTTAGATGTTGGTGTTTTTGTGTCATTAATTATTGATTTCTTTAGTTGTGAGAAACTATTTTGTGTAAATGAATGCAAATACTTCTATGAACATCGGATAGTAAAATCTAATTGAATCATAAACATGGAACCTGATAACACACAATCTGTCGAACAACAACCAGTGGAAAGCGATCCATCTATTAAACCTACGAGTGCAGATAACGAAGATAGTGCAATAGCTGCTAACTCAACAAATGGTAACGATACCGACGTAGGATCTCAACCCCCAAATTCTAAAGATATTCAGAAACCGTCACCCAAAAAGCCGAAAAAGAGGAAACCTAAAATACCACGGGATGTAACTGCGCCTCGCCAGCCTCTGACTGGTAAAATATAAGATGAATAATAAAATCTTTGACTTTCTAGAACTTTCTCGATGTTGTAAATACGATTTGCCTTCCAGGTTATGTTAGATATCTCAATGAACGTCGTGATCAGTTAAGAGCTGAACAACCAGAATTAGGTTTTGCGGAGTTAACGAGACAATTAGCCGCTGAATGGAGTAAACTCCCCACTGAAGAAAAACAGCACTATTTGGATGCAGCTGATCAAGATAAAGAAAGGTTTATCAAAAGATCATCTATTTTTGTTTATATAGTAACATTTCTAGATATATTCATTAATTTTATTGCAATGATTTGGAATGTTATATCCGTTCCATTTAGTAATAACTATATTTTAACAGGTATATTAAAGAATGGGCAGAGTATAAAAAAACTGATGCTTATAAAGAGTTTAGAAAGCAGCAAATGGAACAAAAAGATACAGGAACTGTAACCAAAAAGGTTAAAACAGGTGTTGATAATAATATTATAAGTGTTACAGGTCAGTTTAACTGTTGGCTTTGTAAAATTTATCAAAAATGTACTTATCCTGTAGTATTCAATAAAACTATATTAACTTTGTAATTAATGTATTGTGCTAGATAGCAAAAGTAGATGACAGCAACCAATATAATGATCTACCTACATTACACTTGACATCACATTATTTTAACAATACCCAGCAAGTATAACTAATACATTACATATCCAAAATGTTTAAATTTTGCAGGAGGTCCTACTCAAGTTTCGTCTGAACCTGTTGTTAGTGCAAGTATATCAACTGGTTCCATTCTCAGTGTAACAAGACAACAGACTCCACCTCGACCGAGGCCTTGCATAACACCTGCTTCAGTAAGTATTGAAAATTAATCAAAAATTTACATATACAGTAGAAACTCGATTATCCGGCCCTCAGTTATACGGATTCGCGATTATCCGGACTATGGACAAGTCGGGACAAATAAAATGTCAAAGTGTAAGAGAGTAGTTTGTTGAGAGTGGTGTACATCAAATGACAAATGATACATATTATTTTAATTTATGATTACCTATTGCAAATTACGAAATACATATTGTAATTTATTTTTTATATAAACATATAATATTATGTACTACATATGCACAAAACTGGCTTTTCTTCATACATTCAATTATTCGGATTTTCGATTATCCAAATGCCTATCAACAACAATTAGTCCGGTAATAATAGTGTTTCTACTGTATGTATATTTTCTGCTAGTCCAAACATAATATTTAAAAATGAAGTTGTTATAATCTTCTTTTAGGGTGAAGAAATGTCTGGAGACACAGATATACCAATTTTCACTGATCAATTCTTACAACATAACAAGTTGAGGGAATCTGAACTTCGTCAGTTGAGAAAAGCTAATTCAGATTACGAGCAGCAGGTAGACTAAAATAAAACAATAACATTTTTTTCATATTGTACTTATGAGTTTTGTTATTAAATATAAAATTTGTATTTGGTGAAGTCTTCTTGTGTATAAAAATTTTAAATTATTAATTTATATTGAGTGTATAATTTTTTTTTATAGAATGCTATATTACAACGTCATGCTGAAGAAGTAAGTGCTGCTACAGCTCGGCTTAGGGCTGAAACAACAGCAGCGGCCGAAAGAACAGCCTTGCTTGTAGCTCATCGGAGACTTTTAGTGACATCACTAGTTCAAGCATTACAATCTGTTGTACTGCCTTTACAAAGTAAGATGAGTTAAAAAGGACATGTTTAAAAAAATTTACAAAGCATATGTAGACAGAAGTTACCAATTTTTTTAATTTTTTCTCATTGACATAGTTTTTGTATAGGTTCTTTTTGTTACTAATTGAAAAAGGTTGTATATAAATTTTCATGTTTTAGGTGGACCAGCTGGTGCATCAGAATCTAACATAGAGGAGTACATGGAAAAATTACAGAGCTTGGTAACAGAAGGAAAGAACAATCCAGTATTGAAACAGGCGAAAGAAATATTAAATAAAATTGAATTACCTATGAATTAACAATTTAATAAAACCATTTATATATTGTCAGCATTTTTTTAAGCCTACAATACCACTACTTATACTTAAATATACTTATAGTAAAACTGTCAAGCTAATTAGTTTTTTAATAAAATACATAACATATAAGTAGAATTATCAGTTTTCTTCTTCGCTATCAGACTCATATTCCTGTTTAATGCCAGTATCATAATCATGTAGCTTTTTCCTCCACAATTTAATCAACATGTCCCAAGATCTTCTGCTGTATTTTGTATACTTGTCTGGAGTTTTTGGATGATCTTTGGTCCTTTGGTCTCTAGAAAATGATATCGAAAATAATTTAATATAAAAATTATACTAATATAATAAATTCTATTAGTACCACTTACATAGGAACTTGTTTTATATAATTGTGATAGCCAACAGTATTTTTTCCATAATCTATCTGTTTTTGTCTCCTCTGTAAAGTTGCAGGATCAGTCTCGACTTCCATAACCTTTTTAGCGGGCTTACTGAAATTCATACTTAGCATGAATAAAACAAAAATTTGATACTAATATTTTTAGTTATAGCAAAATACATATTACACAATACAGGTACTGCTATTCACTATTTAAATGTTCTGAAATACATATATAAAACAATATTATCATTATTACCTAGGTTTGTCCGATTCATTTGGCTTTAATTTTTTCCTGCTACTTGAACTTTCTCTACTATCAGACTTCATCTTCTCCTTTGTTGCTCTCCGAACTGACGAAAATAATACATTTTAATAAACTCGTTATCAGTGGAAAGCTTAGTTAGTATTAAACGTATTCTACTAGATCACGTACCTGGTAAAGTTTCATTATCATCTTCAACCCAACTTTTCAAAATATTTCTTGTTACGCTATCCATCTTGTTGCAACAGTAATAACCTTTACTTATATGTCAATAGTTAGATTACTTTTACCGAACCTACTACAGTAATAAGTAACAGAAGATCCGGATTTTTTGTTTTCAACGAAATAATACTATTAGAGTTCATTGACAGCTATAACTTTCTTGATAAATGCAGAAACTGCTTTTTGCGAATTGACTTATTACACCATTATATTTAAATGTATTCACTTCTCATAATCATAAAATAGGAACTGTTAAAATGTTGTATATAACATTAATTTGTCGGCTGTCGCGCGAAAAGAGGCAAACAAATATGACAGACAGTTTAACCAACATAAATAAGAACTAGCTTTTTAAATTCGTTACCACCCGTCCAGCATTTTAACATGTATAAGAGTGCTTTGGCCCGTTTGTGACTATAAACAATACTCTAGTCTATGGTATCAAACGAGTCTAATATATCCTTAAAAAAAATTGATTCAAAAATTAGGTTTGAATACCTTAACCTCTATATGATACGCACAAATCGAATAACGCCGAGAATGTATCAATTGAAAATTAAAGTTATAGGTTGGTTGCAAATTTCTTAAATCGTGTTTAAACAATTTAAAAATCTGTGATTATTACAGTATAAAATATTAATGGATGAAATCAAAAGGTCAAAGTGCCCGCCTCTCGTTGCCGAGGGCGCGGGTTCAAACCTAGCAAGTACCAATGTGATTTTTCGGACTCATATGTACTTTCTGAAAGTATTTAGACACCACTGACATACGGTGAAGGAAAACATCGTGAGGAAACCTGGACTTTTAGTTTCACAATTATAAGTTTGAAATCGCCAACCCCTCTTGAGCAAGCGTGGTGATTAATGCTCAAACCTTCTCCATGTGAGAAAGAGGCCTTTGCTCAGCAGTGGGCTCTGATAAACTGATGACAAATGACGACGACGACGACGAAATATTGAAATGAGAAAAAGAAAACACAAAGTACTTCCAATTATTTTTAATATACTGTGCTATTTGATGTAATCCCTCTTTTCCAGCAGTACCACACAAATATTCCATTTCAATGTTAACATCAACATCTTTTATGACAATTTTTAATAAAGCATTTATTAAAACTGTTGTGTTATCTAATGGCTTACTATTCTGGGTTGTTTCTTGACTATCTAATTGTGAAATATCATTAGTAGTTTTTTCTACTGAACTGATCAAAGTACTGGTTCCATTTTGGTCATTGTCATTTATCATCTCTTGACCTGTAGAATTACCTTCACATTTTGCCTTCTTTGATTGCTCTTCCATTTGTTTTTGCAGTCTTCTTTTTCGTCTTTGGTTTGACCAAGTATTCGATACCGCTATTATTTTTAGGCGTAACTCGTTATTACGTTTTGTAATAACTTTATAAGTAATTTTTAACTCCTGTAATATAGCTTTCATTTTATCGAAACTGTTAGTTCTAGTTTTGCTCTCATCTGGTTTTGGTAACGTGATGGTTATAGGTAAGTTTTTCTTGCGGGATTTATCCTTTGGCATATCTAAAAAAATATATATATGTAAACCCTTCAATCTTTGGAAATAAATTTTATGAAAAATGTTGTATATTACCTATTTTGGATAGATCATAATCCTGATAAGTCCAAGCTAGGCCCCATCTTGTAACTCTTCCTTGACAGAATTCAGTTATTGTGTATTTAATGCTTTCAGCTTTTAAATCCAGAACTAGTTCCTTCAAGTTATATTTATGACCTACCATGGTTGTGTATATGCTGAAAAAGAATATCAAATTGATCACATCATATTGTTGGAAATTTATTTAAAAAAGAATAGTAATAAAATGACATACAGAATTCTATCTTTGTAAAGTTTGCTTTCCTCTATAATTTTTCTACAGAACTGTAACTCTCCGCCTTCTGTGATAAGTTCATGTGGTGATCCGGTGAATCCATTTTTCGGTTCAGGTCTAAGAATAAAAGGAAAAAAACATTATAGATCATAGTAAACTTTTCAAATGTCTTTTATTGTGAATATAAATTATAGTATATGTTTTAACAATTGTTGTTCTGCTTGAAAGGCATTTTTTTACTACTTTGTCTATCATTGCGACTGGTACGACAATAAAAGCATTTGGAGTCTTAGAATAATACTCTTTATTATCATGAAATATAAACTTTTCTATTTCATATAATCTATTAAATTACCTCGCTGGACTCCTCGACTCCCAAAGCTCTTGGACATTAGTGTAAAAAGGTGGATTGCACATACAAAAATCAAACATTTGTGAATGATCATCCGCAAACATGAAATCAACTATGGATTTTGTTGGATTCTCCTTCACTGAAACCAAAGTTATTATCACATAAAGTCAGTAAAAATTCTAATTAGAATATACAGGGTGACTGGTGAATTACTATCGATACTTGAGGACGTGATATTTGACGATCATATATGACAAAATAAAAATTAATATAACATAAATATTAATAAACTTCTAAGTAAAGTTAACCAAAAGTTATGTAATTAATTACGCATCGTGTGAACACCCTACAGATTAGGTATACACACACACTCACACATACGCGTGCGGCGGCGTGGTGTTGTATCAGCACGCCGCCGCACGCGTCCACACTTGGAACACTTGGAACGTGTCAACACTTTATTTATTTATACGGAAATTTTGTCAAAAATTAAGTGCCTATTTTTACATAATTTGAATGAGAATCATGTACCGAGTATTCTCCTTAAATATTTATAGTAATTCACCAGTCACCCTGTATATGTATGTATTAATAAGGTTACAGTAATGTTTGAATTTAAGTAATAAATGTATTTGAATTGGTAAAGATCACTTAATATAATTATTATTTTTTCTTTTTATCTTTCAGTGTTAGATAATAATAAAAGTAAAATACATACATGTTATTAAATTCTGTAGATTATTCCTTTGAACATTCTCTGTTGCTTTCAATAAACTTTCCTTGTCTGTTTCTGTTCCAACCATCATCCATTTATTCTTTACAGCTGCCAGTAAAGGATATATAGCACATGCACCAGTACCTAACAAAATTGTTAAAAATTATTCAATTTATTTATGAACATAATTATCAATATAGTTTTTATTATTATACTGGCCACACACTACGGTCTACCAGACAGGTAATATGTGCAAGTATGCCTGTGCAGGTCAACCGAATAATGGAAGTGTTAAAAAAACTGCACAGGTCTATTCCCACCTACATTCCGGATTACCTGCACAGGTGGAAATCTCCAGTAAACCATAGTGTGTGGGGCTGGTCTTAGAATTCTACTGATTCAGCACAGAAGTATCTGATCAAATATAATGCTTATGAAGTTTGAGGGTAGTTAAAGATTTAATATAAAGTAGTTAAACAATATTCATACTTTGTTGTTTTTAACAAATGCTGTGAATATTTTTATTCAAAAAATAGTTTTAACATGAACAAACATCTATGTTATTGAATTGGAATGTTGGTGACTTTATGTAACAATTTAGAATTAATAATGAATCTTACCTATATCAAGGCCAGTGATAGACTCTTTTTTATTGATAAAATTCATTAAGTCTTCAATCCACAAGATATAATTTAGCCTTAACGGCAATGTTGGTACTAATCTATCTTCTGGTATAAGGACATCGAGATTAAAATCAGATTTTAGTAAGCAGGTCGTCAAAATCCGCAGTGCATGAGGATCTTTAAAGTCAATAGTCACTTTACCTGTAACATCCTGAAAAAGTTAATACTTAACAAACTTATTAAAATAAAAGACTATGTATTGTTATAAAAAATATCTTATGAAAGTTATAACTACCATTTTAGCTATGTCGGAAAATTCTTTATAGGTTTTCGCTAACTTAGCAAAGTCTGGAGGGGTTTTGTAAATATTGTTTGGGTGCATAAATTTGTTTAAAGCCATCTCTAATAAATATATTTATGACTCACTCCAGATATAACCTGTAAATCGCTGATATTTCCCAATCCTACTTTCAATTATATAATAATATTTTATATATATTTATCTCTATAAATATAATTTTGTTGGTGAACCCTGATATATAATTATGATATACTTTTAACTTTTCTACTATTGAAATACGAAATATGACGGTTTATAGTTTGACAGTAAGAATATTATTGTTTCGACTTTTCATATTACATTACATTAAAATTATTAATATTTTATTACGCACATCATATTAAAAAATAAAATATAAAATAATTCAGTAAATTATATTGGAAATCGTGTGTAACATGTATCAAACATTACAAAGTCGTATAAGTTAAAAGTAAAAAAAACACAAAAACCACGAACAAATATATTTAAAAAAAAATTCTATTTAACATCTATATTTTCTTAGGATATTTAAAAAGAAAAATATATAAGTATACTTCATAGACTTTTCAAAGAATTAAAGTGGTTGTTTATGATATGTAGTTGTATACTCTGTGACAATGTCCTATATTCGTGTCTCTGACTCTTTTTATCTTTAGAAATTCTATAAGGACGCGATCATTCATCGATGATTAAGCTGTCCTGATTTTGTTTTCTTTTGCTGAAAAAATATTAGTTCATTATTAAAAGTAGTTACAAACGTTTAAATACTAATAAAAAATAAAAATGGTTGATAAAATTGATATGGCTTTGGACGACATAATAAAAGCGGGCAAAAAAGGAAGACCGGGAGGCGGTGGCGCTGGAAGAAAATTCGATGTAAAACGCCCAGGAAGAGGAGGTGGATTCCGTAACGGCCGTACAGGTGGAGTGTTACGTGGTCGAAATCGTGGAGGAGTATCTAAGCCAACAAATTATACAAGGGTAATTCAAATAAATCGTTGATAATTCAGTTTCAATATGGCGGATCAACGTGGTGAAATGACGCGTCAAGTGCGTCGCCATAGATCTTTTGTCATCCTAATATCCCTATTGTGGACAAACTACATTGTTCGTTTGTAAATGTAGTTATATTACCACGTCCATTATTTTCATATCCAGCGCAAGTTCATTCTTGCAACAGTATATTCTGCTGTACCTATAATTAGCCTTAACTTTATTTCTCCACTTCAAAGTATATTTTTTTGTAATCCTCCTCCTTCTCTAAATGGCATTTAATTGCCTTTGCCGTCACTTATTCACCTGATAGTACTACTTGGAGATTTAAAAGGGTTTATCAACATATCCAGTGTTTTGGGAGTTTCTACAAAAGGGAGAATGCAAGCAAATACAACTAGACATGAAAGTTACTACAAGCTTATTTTTACAAGACGGGGTTCAGAAATACGATGGAGTTTCCTGTTAATTTAAGAGGATTGCTAATTTTGAGACTGTTCGCGTTATAAGTGTGGTTTTGCAAAGTTGTGCAATATCATTCATGTTAAAAAGTGCAGTGTTAGTGGTGCAAACGAGGATTGTAATCATTTATTGTCAATCATAGGCTTGTCAAAAATGCTTGTGTATCATATAATAATCTATTGTATTAGTTTGTTACAATTCTGTGAATTGTTATAGAACATGTACAACATATGTTTGCTTAGTATTTTGAGTGTATACTCAAAGAAGCTGCAGCGGGCTGTTGGCATGATCTATGAAGGACAACCTATTTCAGGGAGATGTAAACAGCACTTGGAAACATGACATGTACAATGACTTCAATGATAGAAAAATGCAGAGGAGTGTGCCTTTAACAACAGGGCCGACTAAACTCCTCGTGTCCAATCTGGACTTTGGAGTATCAGATTCTGACATACAAGAGCTTTTCTCAGAGTTTGGCATTCTTAAGAGTGCAGCAGTACATTATGATAGATCAGGAAGATCATTAGGTTTGTGCTTTAGTATTTTTCATATATACACATATGTTACATTTATTTGTGCAAATTAATTAATAATAATAAATCTATAGGCACGGCTGATGTTCTGTTTGAAAGAAGAGCGGATGCGTTGAAGGCTATGAAGCAATACAATGGAGTACCTTTAGATGGACGTGCAATGAATATACAACTAGCCACCTCGGAAATATCAACCTTTAGGAATGAAGAAAGGACAAGACCAGCGGGCGGAGGCCCCGTAAGAAGAAATTCTAACAGAGGTACATATATACAGGGTGACTGGTGAATTACTATCGATATTTGAGGACGTGATATTTGACGATCATATATGACAAAATAAAAATTAATATAACGTAAATATTAACAAACTTCTAAGTAAAGTTAACCAAAAGTTATGTAATTAATTACGCATCGTATGAACACCCTACAGATTAGGTATACATACACACTCACACATACGCGCGTGGCGGCGTGTTGTTGTATCAGCACGCCAGCACTTGGAACACTTGGAACGTGTACACACTTTATTTATTTATACGGAAATTTGGTCAAAAATTAAGTACCTATTTTTTTTACATAATTCGAATGAGAATCATGTACCGAGTATGCTCCTTAAATATTGATAGTAATTCACCAGTCACCCTGTATATTGATAAGTAAAGTGAAAACTTTGTACTCATTTAAGAAAAATTCAATACTATTTGTTTGTGAAACACTTTAAATTTTTCTAAAATGTTTAAGCAATTATTAAATTATCATTACACATTGTCAATCTGTGAATATTGTACAAAATATAAAACACAGACAAATACCATTTCCATTTCAGTAATGAAGTTTAAATGTCATAGAAATATTGATTTCAGATTGCATATATATTTCAATCAAACTTCTCAACAAATTATCATTTGCTATAGGAGGCAGTGGTAATCGTCCTCAAGTTGGTGGCAGAGGCCGAGGAGCACGACGAGGAGGTCGTGGAGGAAGTGGAGGACCTCGCGGCAAGAAGGCCGTACCAACAGCAGAACAATTAGACGCTGAACTAGATGCTTATGTTAAAGAAATTAAGTGATAGAAGCTTTACTAGACATAATAATAGGTGTATAACATAATTTTAAGACGCAAGTTAGTTCATACAGAAAAGAATTGCAAGCACTCACTCGGTTTTATAATAAAACTTAGTTCTGACATATTAAGTGAATCAGCCGAATTGTTTAAGAATATTTTATTTTAATACATGGATGTAAAATTAGGAAAAGTTCATGATAAAAGAAATTATTGTGATTTATGCTGTTCTTATTGAGATTCAACCACATCAAACTACCCAATTTACTTTATACACCCTTTTTGTAATATCATGAAAGTATTATCAGTATGAAAAAAATATGTGACGCCTGCTGTAAAAGTGATGAATTGTAATATTTTCATACAGGGCTATTTACAGTCATTTTTAATGAGATACATTTATAATAATCTAATTAATATTAATTATTAATGACATAATTTGGAAACATTAATGAGTCCATCAGATTTGAGAGTCAACACATGGTGATATAGAAATATTTGCCATCAGTGTCAAAATAGAAGTAAACTAGAAAATTAAGAGTTAAAGGTGTCTTCCATTCATAAAAATAGATATTTTTTTCATAAATTAAGCATTTCAAAGTACTTAATGTACTTAAAATAGGTGAATAAACTTTATTAGGGACTTTGCTTAATATCTATTTGACATTCAATAACTACAGGCTCGTGAAAGGAAATAAACATGATAAAATATTGATAAAGGCACTCAATAATAGTATTAAACATTGTGGTGCAAATTAAAATTTATTTTCTGACTTATAGGTGCTCTTTAATTAGACAATAATAAGACGTAGTTCTTATTTAAAGTTGACAATTCTCATTTATTCCGCATGGCATGATATTAAAATTTCACAACGAAATTAGGAATTATCAATATCCTTTTATTTATGTGCTGCCTAATAACTTGTCTGATATATTCAGTGGTTAATTAGTAATTACCAATTTAAAAAGTAAGTATGAGAGGAGAAATGAATAAAACTGGAGAAAGTAAGGGTTAGTGAGTGGGTGAATAAAACTATGTAATTCGGATTACTAATACATATAGTCCGTTAGACTTAAGCTGAGATTTGCATTTGTGTGAGTGAAAGTAAAAGTAGAGTTAGACAAAAAACTTAGAATTAAATTTTATTATATTTTAAATAGATACATAACATAAGCTATAAAATAAGCAAAACTTGTATAAAGCTATACAAATTCTTCTTAACTTGACATTGCGTTTTCAACATTTGATTTGCTATCCGTGTTGCACTCACACAAAGCTCAGCTTAAATCAAGCGCACTATACTTCCTTTTTTATCTCGTCTACCCATGAACACATTGCTGCAAAGTTGAAAATAACGGAAACGTCCGGAGTACGTACTTCGAAGCAATAAAACATTCGTAATCCGAAAATAATTTTAATTTGAATGAATACTCCGAAAGTCTTAGGTCTCAAAGTGAGAAAAGGGATATTTGGACATTGGTGTATAGGTACCTGTCGCTGAGCTGTTGATACTGGTTGGTATAGAACCCATTAGTTTCCTTTGAGCGTAAAGTTTAAAAAACATTGCACAAGTTAGTTAATTAAGAAAAGAAGAAATTTAGTTAATATAAACCTTAACGACTCGAATACCTGAAAATCCATTTGATAGTAAGTGAACGATGAGTGGGTGATAGTGATTTTGGTAACAAAGGTGATGATGATATGGGGGATTTTACGGGAAAGTAAACCTTGATGTAATTTTTTTAAGTTTTTTCTTTTTTTTAAATTATTATATATATCGATACAAAATTCTTAAAATTGCACGATACATTAAAAAATATTAGTATATTAATATTTTTTATTTTTCATTAAGTTGCAACCTTGATTAATTAATCTAATGCTGATTTGGATCTGAAAAGATGCAAAGCTGTCAAGCTGAGTGTTTTTAAATGTATACCTTGATGCACACCCAAGCTACTGAGCTGACTCCCATGATGAAACTAGCTTCCATATCAAGAAATAAAAACTTATAAGTGACTCCTTGTACCAAGTATATCGTACGTGTCCCACCCGTGACAGTGAAAGTACCATCCGTGACACACTTTATTTATTTTTTGTAAGAATATGGGTAAATAATTGAACATTATTTTCTATTCAAATGTGAAGTTTAGTTTATTGTTAAGTTAGTCTGCCTTAAAAAGTTTTATCAACTAGCAGAGTTTTAATAAATATGATGCATGTGTAACAAGAATGTCACAACTCTGTCCCACCCGTGACAAACATATTAGTCCGGGATCCATGGCTGTTTTTTGCACTTGATTACTAACAAGCTAATTTTTTGTGAGTAAGTAGCTTCGTTTCATTGAGACGCCCAACTTTTTCATTTGCAATATTTCTTGATAGTGGTAGCTAACTTAGCTAGCAGAGATAAAATATGTTGAATTGATAATTATCCAAAATTTGTTACTAACTGGATTTATTTATGTTAAATCTTATGATAATTATCTAAATTATTCGAAAAAAAATTTGTCCGACAAAATGTATGGTTTGATCGATGAATCCCCCTCCTTTCAACATGTATCGATAACGAGGTCATCGCAAATGATTACTAACCAGCTGATTTTTTTGACTATTACGACTCTAAAAGCTTCGTTTCTCTAAAAGCAATGAGGAAATTTATCTTTAAAATCAGATTCCTTTTGTAGCCATTCATTTTCATTCTCAGGTAACTTAATCATATCTTTCAATACAGATATGAGAGTAGCACAATATTCTCTAACAATATTGGAAATCACTTGATGATACATCTTGAACAAATAATGTAAGCTTCTGTAGCTATCTCCTGTAGCTAAATATCATAAAGTAACAGCTAGTCAAACTTTGGCAGTTATAGTTACACGAAATTTAGTTCTTTGTTTTTCTATCAAAGGCCCAACTCTGCTAAAAATCACTTCGAAATCAGTTGCCGACATTCGAACGCACCCCTCGAACTGGTTGCTGGGTTCAGCTAGTAGTTCGGAAAATATTTCCTCCATAGAGTTCCTGTAATTAAAAAAAAACACTTACACCTTGACGCATGGTATGAAGATCAAATAAACAGGAGAAAAAACTGACAACAATACAAAATAAAAAGTTTTACATGGTAATACCGGTCACTGTTATATCATATACGTATTAGAAAATTAAATTTAAATAAACAGAAGGAATTACGGTGTACGATTTCTGTCCATTTGAATCATCCACCATCTTCTTTTTCTGTTTCCGTTTTCTTTTTATTCGGTAATGATTCAATAAAGTCAAATAATATAAATTTACACTCATGAAATATAGAGCTCTGTCGACATCCACCTTGCTTGAATTGAACTCCGTTTTTAACCGTTGAAGTGTAACCACCCGGAAAAATTATCGCAATAATTATCGGGATAATGGGCATTGGCGTTAAACGCTAGTGTGGCCCAAGCATAAACAGATTTCGCCAATATCGTGTGAACCGTGAATATGTAACTGGTAATTCAATATAACACAGATTTATGGACTTCAGTTCTGACTTCTGAGTGACGTTCTTGCAAACTGTTTTCTTTCACGTAAAGTAAGAAACGAATTTTTATAGGTTTTTCGCTTTTATATATTATGTATTGACTTAATTTGTCAATTTTAAAAGCACTAAAGCTATTATATTGCAATAGCGAATACCGAATAAATACATGTAAGCCTTTTAAATTTTAATAAACATTTTTAATTTAATAAATTTAAACATTGTTAAAGGAATATAATTTTATAATATGTATAAGTTCACGAATAATATAATATTTTATTTATAGTGTTTAAGAGTCAGTGGGGGCCTAGTGCATGAAGGCGCGGGTTCGATCCTGGCAAGTACCAATGTGATTTTTCCAAGTCATATGTTCTTTCTAACAGTAGTTAGACCACTGATTAATGCATTCCCAAAGAGGGTTAATGTCAAGCAGGCGGCCGGTCGTAAAAACAATTAGCCAAAACTATTCACTACATGTAAGGCAGACCCTGGCTAAAGCTGGGAAATTGCCAGGTAGAAGAAGATAATATTTAATTTATATGTACATATCTTTAAAATAAAAACAGTTTGTTAATATGTCTTATGTCAATAAAGATAAATGAATATTATAGATATATGTATAGACTATAGTCAACAGATCACTTCTTTTAATAAACTGATTCTACACAAGGTCACAAGCATGAGAATACCTATAATTACATGTTAATAAGGTTGGGGAAACTCCCAGTTCACCAATGTTTACAGACTTAGCAAATACAGTTAAAATTTATTTTGACAAAATGAAATGTTCAAAAGTTATGATATGTATGTTTCTATATTTATACAAAATAAATTGACTGGATTCACATTTCCAACGATATTTCAAGAAATTTCTTTCCCCCTAAAAGTGTCTTCTTATATTTATTAGTGGCAAACCACAAATTGAAATTGAAAACTTGACAATATTCAGTGCTTGTCAACAACATATTTTTATTCACATAGGTACCTAAAAATCGAAAATAAGCATTTAATTATTGGAAGTATATTATCCATGTGGTCGGTTTTCGGTTATTTAACAAATTTGTATTTCTAAGAATAATATTAACGATAAGTGTAACAGTGAAATCGAGAGCAGTCTAAAAAATCATGAATCTGTCAGGTACGTTTTACCTGTTACTTGTTGGATATTTCAGCTACATTATCTTTTCAGCTACACAAAGTAATAAACTGTGAACATCTTATGAACAGATCCATCAGACGACGATTCTAGTAGCGATGAAAGTCCTGTACCAGCAAAACGTCCCCGGACAGACACTTACGGTGCCTCGTCAACAACATCGCATGGTTCAAGTAAATAAAATAATACTTCAAGATAGGTAAATTAATTATTTTCGATGACTGATTATTCTTCCTTATGTTTAAGTTATTCAAGAATCTGACGAGGACTCACCTGAACCACAATTTTCGGAAAACTATGGGGCTAATTCACAGAATACAAATAAAACCAGGTTAAGCTATAGAGAGCAAAGTCCCAACAGACCAAATCGATTAAGTAGGAGCAGTCTCAGTGAGAATTGTTCTTCTCCTACTGATCAATATGATGACTTTCGACCTGGTTTCAAAGATAATGACTCAGAAGATGGTAGTGTCCGACCAAGTTTTCAGAAATCAAATGACAATGCCTTTTACAACAAAACATCAGATGATTCCAAAGAGTCTGATGCTTACACTGGTGTGGGATACTCAGAGATTTCAAAAAGAATGATGAGTAATATGGGTCATAAGCCTGGGAGAGGTTTGGGTAAATTTGAACATGGTAGAGTAGAACCAGTACAGGCATCTACACAGAAGGGTCGGAGAGGTTTAGGTTTAAAACCATCAGTTGTTGGTGAAGTACCTCGTGATTTTAAATGGTCACCAGATGAGGCAGTGCCTGAAGCAAAGGAGGAAATTGTAAGTGTCAAGAAAAATATTAAATGTTAAGTCATTATAATATGCTAAAATAAATATATATATATTCACTTTTTCAGAATTGGATGCCATCAGCACCAGAAGAAACTTTGTATGGGGACGTTTTAGAACAATGGTTAAAGAAGGGCAAGAAGAAAACGGTAATTGATGATGAGACGGAGTTTGTGGATCCACAAATATTGAAAGGCATTCTAAATTCAAAGGTAATTATTTCATATTTAATAATAATAGTTACTTCATGTGTCATCTATGTAACTTTTATGCTCTTTGCAGACCATTTTTGACAATTTAGAGGGTGAAGATATGAGACTTGCTAGAACTCGCAGTAATCCTTATGAGACAATTGGTTCTGTCATATTTTTAAACAGAGCAGCTGTTAAAATGGCTAACATTGATGCAGTTTTTGACTTTATGTTCACAAACCCTAAGAAACCTTCTGGGGAACCTGCGGTAGATAAGAAAGATTTGTTGTATTTCGCTGATGTTTGTGCAGGCCCTGGTGGATTCTCTGAATATGTTCTGTATAGGAAAGGTTGGAGAGCAAAAGGTATATTGTCAAGAAACTACTAATAATGTTATTAAAAAAACCTCTTAAATTTCCATATAAAAAACTCTTTCTTGAGATTTTGTTGACATATTGCAAAATTTTGTATCTCATATATATTTATTATTTTTAAGCACTATACTCTTATATTCCAGGTTTTGGTTTCACATTAAAAGGTTCAAATGATTTCAAATTATCTGATTTCTTTGCTGGTGCCCCAGAAACATTCAATCCTTATTATGGGGTTAAGGAAGATGGAAATATCTTTGATCCAGCCAATTTGTCATCTTTGAAGGAGTTTGTTTTAAAACAAACAGATGATGTTGGTGTCCATTTTCTTATGGCAGATGGAGTAAGTTTTGAGGTCAAAATTATTAGGTCTTTTTACTAGGATATTTATGTGTTGTTTCTTTTAGGGATTTTCAGTTGACGGACAAGAAAATATCCAGGAAATATTGTCAAAGCAGCTGTATTTATGTCAGTGTCTTGCAGCTCTAATGCTTGTTAGAACTGGCGGCCATTTTGTGTGTAAGCTGTTTGATGTATTCACACAATTTAGTGTTGGTCTCATTTACATTATGTATAGGTGTTTTGAAAAAGGTATTGTAATTTTAGTTTTATACGCATATCATATACAGGGTGGATGTTATCGTAAGACAAAATAATAAAATGTTACACTTTACATGTCATTTGCGTTAACTGCTACAATTGTTAATAAGGTTTTTTTACACATCTGCAATAAATCTATCAACATAAAGTTAATGACAGCTAGGTGATAACAAAAATGTCGGCTAGATTAGTTCATCACTCTTATCATATGTTAAATGTTTATTGTTTTAAATATATTATTTTATTGATTGCACCAAATCACAAGTAGGTAAATGTCACTGTGGTTCATTGTTAGATGCTATAGATTTATACTTTCATGTCTGAGTATACTTGGTCAAGTGTCTTTAAATGGGTATATTATAAGGTATCAATTGATGGCGCACACCTAACATTGTTTGTTTTCCTTATGACGTTTTAATCATAAGGTGAAGATACTCTCCTCGTAGAATATTATACATACGATGTTATAATAAATTACACTGTTTACCCATGGCTAACAACCTATCATTCGGAGTGCAATATATGTACATACAATTATCTATAAGGAAACACAGATATCTTAAAGTTTAGAACACACCAATTAGTTAAAACTTTGTGTATATAGCCATTACATAACAACAGTAGTTCAATTTTATTTCATTTATTCTGATATATATTCTTAACTTCAGTGTTAAGATTATGGATAATTTTTCTTTTCTAATGTTTTTTTTTTTGTCTTACAATGATTTCCATCCTGTATATTATAAAAGCCATTATTTAATCTTTTTTTCTTATTCATCGTCCTGAAAGTATAGAATTTGTGCTAAAAGTATTCGTCTAAACCTCATTTCTATCAGTATTAAGTTGTTAATTTACTATATTAAATAATTCACTCTAAAAATAAGTATGTACATCAAAGAAATTGAAAATATATATTGTTCATATTGTAGTATTTAAAAAACATTTGGAGTTCACTATATTAACATATTATTAATATATTGGTTGCGCATTTATAATAGTATGTTTATACTTTATATATCTTAAGAATAATGCATGCATTTCCCACTTATATTGGCTCATGTTATATTATTTTATGTTTCAGTGTGTATTTTTAAACCTGTCACATCTAGACCGGCTAACTCCGAGCGTTATATAGTGTGTAAGTGTAAGAAAGCCGGCACTGAATCCGTTGAGAAACACTTATTTTCTGTTAATTCTATTCTATGGAATAATCGGACGAAGGACGATGACGTCACACAACTTGTCCCCCTATCAGTTATACAAGAGGATAGAGCCTTCTATGAATACATATATAAGAGTAATTGTGTGTAAGTAATATGAATATATTATAAATACTAACGAATATTGATAACATTTAACAAATAATATTGCATATATTTTTCTAGGTTTTGAGAGATTTAATGATATAAAATAATTTAATGTTGTAATTTAATGTTTGATTCATCAGAATAGGGGAAAGACAAATCAAGAATCTGTTGAAAATAGCTGAATTCAGCAAAAATAAAAAGCTTCAAGAGGACTCTCAGGCTGAGATGAGAGAGCAATGCTTGAAGTTATGGAATGTAGGTGTCATATATATATCAAAAAAATATATATTAGTATATTATGTAAAGTCTATATATTACTATTATTATTTTCAGTTGCCAGATAAAGTACGCACAAAACCAGAACGTAGGAGTGCTGATGATACACTATCACATATATTGAAGACCTCAGCAAAAACACAATTGGAATCACACAGTCCGTATTCATTTAAGCACAGTGTTCTCAACAGACAGCCGAAGTATCTCGAGAAATCATCAGATTTGAGTAGCACCTTCATTAATGTGTATGACTGGCATTTCACATTCCTCAGTAGTGTTAAAGGAAGTTCCGATTTGAGGATATTCATAGGTGACTATTTTAATAAGATTTCTTTGTTAGTGTTATGTATTAGTTATGCTTGCTCGGTGTTGTTAAAATAATAATATTATGTCATGTGTATTGGCGGTAGATTACTTTATTATATTAGTTGCTGTCATTCAGTTTTGCAACTTAGCACAATACATACATGATAACGTTAATATAGTTTTATTGAAAACTATATTTTATATATATTTATTAATAAACTAAAATATTCTTTATAAATTTATGGTTTCAGCATGTGGTGGCAAACAGGTTTATCAGCTTGATGGCACCTTTTGGAGGAATGTAGCCGATTTACATTTGACATTGCCAGCACACACATTATTATATGGAGAGGTATATAAATGGAATTTAATAAAAAATTATTGAATCTTTATAATATCAATTTATACAGGGTGACTGGTGAATTACTATCAATATTTAAGGAGAATACTCGGTACATGATTCTCATTCGAATTATGTAAAAAAAATAGGCACTTAATTTTTGACAAAATTTCCGTATAAATAAGTAAAGTGTTGACACGTTCCAAGTGTTCAAGTGTGGACGCGTGCGGTGGCGTGCTGATACAACACTACGTCGCGACACGCGTATGTGTGAGTGTGAGTGTATACCTGATCTGTAGGGTGTTCACACGATTCGTAATTAATTACATAACTTTAGGTTAACTTTACTTAGAAGTTTATTAATATTTATGTTATATTAATTTTTATTTTGTCATATATGATCGTCAAATATCACGTCCTCAAATATCGATAGTAATTCACCAGTCACCCTGTATTTTATGAAACAATTTTTTTCTTTTATAGAAATTCTTAATTAGCATCCATCTAAAAACAATTGAAGAATTGTATTTTATTGTAATATTCCTTACAATTTTTCTTAATGTAGCATTATTTGCTGTAAGCTGATTTAAAATTACAAACAAAGTGATTAATAAGAAGTTTAAAAGTGATAAATATTATTCTCAAATTAATCCCATTCTTAAAACATTGACTTTATTGTCTATACTGTTAGTGTGAAAGAGTATACAGTAGATATTTATTTTGGTTTTATTTCAGATAGTGCGAGAGTATAGAGGTGAAGGCAACAATCAGATGCACAATAAAGCACTTCATGTGATAGACGCTCTCATGCTTGGAGGCATTGATATATCATTAATGCCACTCACTGATCGGTTAGCTAATATTAGAAAGTATAAGGCATTGAAAGCATTTGCAAGAAATTTTTCTTTCAATTTAACTCTATTTTTTTTTCTATACATTTTTGATCAACTAGGGTTTTGCATTAAGAAATTAAAATAGAAATGCCTGACTTGGGTATTTTAGTCCAAAAATCTAGGAGCGTTTAGCGACAAGATTTCGAAAATATTTGATTAAAAAGAACAAATATTGTAAGACCATTCAAAACAATAATAATAATAATGTACTCTATGTTAAGATATACATATTAGTTTTAAATAATTTGTATAAAAGATTTGCAAATGTCTAGCTTTATATCAATTGATTAAATTATTTCAACTGGATATTGGATCAAAAATATCTTTTTTTTAAAATAACAATCTTATTATAAAATATGGTCCAAAATACATATTTTTTGTTTCAGTATTAGTCAATGTACTCTATTTTGCAACGCACTTGAAAAAACCGATGACACACAAGCCCTTGCAATCAGATGTAAGAGGTTCTACCCATTGGAATCTTTCCCAACGTCCGTGGATAATTTGGAATATAGAGCAATGAAGAGAATTAAAAAGGCTTTAACTGTGGACATACCGAAACGAGGCAACCGAAACGATATGTTCCATACTGTTGGATCGTTACTATTCATGAAGGAGTTGAAAGGTTTGTGTTGACATCCAGTTAATATAATACATAAAATATAGAGACGAAACCTCTCAGCATTTCATGGATTGCCATGCCGTCGTTGCCACTGATAAATATGTAAATATTATATACAACAGAACTAGAATAATAACATAGGAAATTAGGAGCACAATAAAATACTTCCACTCAATCTAACTTTTAATCGGTGACACAGCCACATAGGAATACCTTAAAATTTACTAACAATTACATATTTATTATAAATCTACCCCACATATATCACATCTACCTTAACAAATTTGAAAAGAACCTACAAGGGCTGCCTTCGAATATAACATAGTATATTAAATGTATTATTTCAAATCCAGAGCCATGGATAGCACAAATATCAAAGAAGAGCGGTTGCAAGTATTATTACTGCATCGGACCGGACAGGAAGCCACGTAGCGAATACTATATACCGGAAGCAGCCGGTTTAGACATGTTGAGCGCATATTCTAGCAGAATTTTGTGGAATTGGGAGGCAGCTTCAGCCATCTTTGAAGGACATCCAAACGCACCTATGACCAGATCGCACATGGAAGAATATATACGCAGTCAGACGTGAAATTATTAACACAATATTTTATATAGATATAAGAATAAGGATTTATTTTTAAACTTATTGATTTTTAAAAATATAAGATCTTTTAAGCAGTGTTTTCTTTTATTTGTACGATATTTTAAACGAATCCTCATGTTAAAAGTTAAAACGAATCCTCAGTATTGCGAAACTAATATATGTAGGTATGTATTACATATTTAAAAATTATAATTAGAGATAAATACTTTTTATTAAATTAATGCCCCTCTGAAGAATATTTTTGACACAAACCTAGTTTTAAAATTATGACTACATCATTCAAATATTCAGCGTTGGAACACGACATCACTAGAGTCTAGAATAATAAAAAAAATCTTCGACATTTCATTTAAGAATTCATATAGTCCAATAAAACTGTAAAAACTGCCAAAAATTTACAGAATCAAGTAGGTCACTTTTAGCTATCCTAATTAAATAACGCTCTTTCTAAACCTCTTTGAGACTTTCTTTTGATTGTCCTTTCTGCGTTATTCTATAAGCTTCTAAGTTAGAAATAAAAATATGAAAAAGTTCGAAAGGCATATTGTAAATGCTTTAAGTTTAATAAAGGTTTAATAAAGCGAGAAAAATATCGGATTTTAAAAATTTTACTTTTGTTAGTAATAACTTACAACTTACATGCATTGTACTATCTTATTGCGAAAGTGTATATAAATGTAGTGGATATAAAAAAAATCTGCCAATTAACATATTTATAATGAAATTCGGTTATACATATTTTAAATAATATTAAAATGACCCCTTAGAAATTATTTTTTTGTTTCATTACTTAACACTGTTTTTAAACGTGACTATAGATTAGAAAAAGTTTCAATGTCAAAATATAATTGTTATTTTGGCGGGTTTGAATTTTTGTATAGTATAATATCAAAGTACAGTGTATTATCAAAAAGGAATTAAATTATAGATATTTAACGTGAACTGTATACACATAAATATTAACATGACGGTTGGTGAGGTCGGCAAAAATCTGCCCTGGTAAATGCTTTTTACTATACACAAATTCCTTATTGAATTATTTGAAATTTAAAGGTTGTGAAACGGAATAAATAAGAAAAATTTGTTTTGTTTCTAGGGTCGAAAAGTATCGTCCATCTAAATTAGAAGATTTAGTATCTCATGATGATATAGTAAAGACTAGTAAGTATATGGTTCAAAACTTTGTTGAAAGTACGTAATTGTGATACATATACTAAGTAAGTAATTATTTTCAGTCAATCAGTTTATGAAGGAGAATCAGTTGCCCCATTTGCTGTTCTATGGTCCACCAGGTACTGGAAAAACATCTACTATATTAGCTTGTGCCAAACAAATGTATACTCCACAACAATTCAATTCTATGGTAAATATTTTCAAATTTAATCACTCCCTGTAATAATCTAAAAGAATTTTAATGCGGAATTATAACATTTCAGGTTCTAGAATTGAATGCATCAGATGATAGAGGTATAGGTATTGTGAGAGGTCAAATCCTAAGTTTTGCTTCAACAAGAACAATATTTAAGGCTGGCCCTAAATTAATCATCCTCGATGAAGCTGATGCCATGACTAACGATGCACAGAATGCTTTAAGAAGAAGTAAGTGACATTCAGTTACTTAAATTATCATATTATAATTTTGTCTATGTTCATTATTCCCAAAGAGGGTGGGTGTTAGGCAGGCGGCTGGTCGTAAAAACAATTAGCCAAAACTATTAGCAACATGTAAGGCAAATCCTGGCTAAAGTTGGGAAATTGCCAGGAAGAAAAATTTTGTCTATATTCATATGGACTCAAGTTTCTTTGATAAATATTTTATAGACAACGTGCAACAATCTTAATAATCAAATAAAATTTGAACTTAGTAGTAATTCAATACATTAACTGACTTAACAGTTATTCTAAAGAAGTAGCTAATGAATTGATACAATGAATATATTGTTGGTTAGCAATCAAGTAAGTAAGGCATTCTTAGGTGTCATGGCAACCATACCATAAACAATACTGACATTGATAAACTCACGACTTACATTTTATCTATCCCCTAACTGAATTTACTTTATAAATAAAACCTCATTTCTAAATAAAATTATATAAAAAAAAAATACTATCTATCCCCTAACTGAATTTACTTTATAAAAAAAAACCTCATTTCTAAATAAAATTACATTAAAAAAATTACTAAATCATTATCAATATTAAGTATAATAATGTCGGATACAGAAGAAGAAGATAATTTAGTGAAATTCATAAAAATTACCCTTGTAGGGGAACCAGCAACGGGAAAGGTAAGTTATGAATAAATAATTATATTTGTGCTGTTTAAAGTATTTGATAATTATAATTACTATAGGGGACCCTTAAAGAAATGCAAGATCTTGTGACAGTGTGTTTTTTTACAATGAAGTTCATACATACTTAATATTTAAAGCTATTATAGGGTTTCTAGCTTTGAGAATTAAAATTTTATTTCAGGCACAATTTTTATACATAAATATGTTAAGATTTAAATATGTTTAGTATAGTATTGTAACAAAAAAAACAAACACCTGTAAATGGCATTTATTTAAGAAATTGTTTCTCTATTATAATATAATATCCACAAAACATTTAATAAACAAAAATATTAACATACTTTATGAAATTCCTAGATTTTTGTAAGAACAAAAGCTTTTAAATAAGCTTAAGATATACTTATATTATTATATTGTTTATTAGACCAGTATATGTCGTCGGTTCGTTGGTGCCAATGTAACTGTAAGTGGTAGTACTCAGGGGGCGGAAGTGACGGCTGCTCACCTGGCGGGTGTGACGTCACCGCTGCGACTGTGTGACGTAGCTGGGGCTGCGATGAACACTGAGATGCTGCCGAATTACTTATATGACACAGATGTTAGTAGGATATAGTGAGGCATTGACGAAGTTTTTGATGAAAAAATTTTTGCGATTTTTAGAAGGAAACTATTGGGTTATTGTAGGGAGCACTTGGATTAACCGCTCTTGAGTTGTATGACTCGTTGCTACTGTACTGAATTGTTGTTTGCATTGAATTATGTAATACATCTCATTCAAGTGAACATTGTTCTTTATGAGAAATAAAGTTCTTTAACCACAAATTGAAATAATATACTCGGGCACATTCAAATATTGGACTGCTGGGATTTTGTCCTGGAAGCTTCCATAATTAACATACTGTAGTTGTTAATATATCTTATTGTCTATTTTGATTAAAGTCAAAGTCACATCGGAAATATTTAATTTGCGAATTTTTCAAAATTTTACTGAAGTATGTAGTTAAAAGTTAATCAACTTTACTTCCTCTTGGTTATTTTTATGTTATTGATGTACGAATAATTTTAGATACTCATATTCGTGTACGATCTCACAAACTTACAAAGCTTTGAACGGCTTAAATTATGGATGGAAAAAGTGAAGGAAATAATGGATTCAGAAAAAAAGAAGCCTTTAATGGCTCTGTTTGGTAATAAATCCGATTTAGAACATCAAAGAGCCGTGAGGTTGTCCTGCGTGCAAAAGTTCGCGTCGGAATATTTCTTAGAAAATTACAAAGGATCAGCCAGAACCGGAGAAACGGTACTAATATGACCTAAACGTTAGCAAAAAATGAACAAATTATCCTTAATACTGTATTTTTCAGATTAGCATATTGTTTTCCAATTTGCTATCTAATCTGCTCGGTATAAAACTCAAATCGGATGTACCTCCGTATAAAAGAATATTGGATACGCAACTATCTGAGACGAGTATGTCTCCTAGTGAGGAAACAGCCAGCACTTTGATCGTGAATCGTAAAACGCTAAGGAAAGTACAGCGAAAATCATCTGCAGTTTGTTCAATTCAATAAAATATGTACCAAAAAGTTTTTACTTTTGTTTTTATTTTTAATCACATTTTTTATAATAATCATATCAAAATCAAATAACTTTTTTGAACTGATTATACAAAGCAATTTTATATTAAATTTATATTGGTATAGTCATAGTATAGCCACTTTTTTGGATAATTACCATGAACGATTTTGTGATATACACATAACATTTTTGTATACAATTTTAAGGTTTTTTATCTTCTTTTTTATGTGTGGAAAGTTATTTATCTTAGTTTTGCTTCTTATTTTTAATTATTATTAATTGTTCTATCTTCCAGTAATAGAGAAGTACACAGAGAACGTTCGTTTCTGTATAATATGTAACTACCTCGGGAAGATCATTCCCGCGCTCCAGTCTCGCTGCACGCGTTTCCGGTTCGCTCCTCTCCATCAGAACCAAATCATACCAAGACTTAAAGATATCGCGGAAAAGGAAAAGTGAGTTATTATGTTTTATTTAATTATTAGACTCTCGTCCTTATTTGATAATTGATTTAAATTTGGCCCATGTAAGAACAAAAATTCGTCAATTTCTATCAAACTCAAATATTCGGAAAGAATAGAGAAACTGTTCGCCATTTCAAAATAATAAAGTCATCTAATAATACAAAAAATACAACATAAATTCTACTTTGTCACGAAATAACATAATTTCTTTATAAATCATGTAATTTTTTTTATTATATTCCACAGAGTAACAATAACAGAGGACGGTGTTAAGGCCCTGCTCACACTGTCGGGCGGTGACATGCGTAAGGTTCTGAACACACTACAGAGCACGTGGCTCGCGTACAAACATGTCAACGAAGACAACGTCTACACCTGTGTGGGACACCCTTTACGATCAGACATCAACTACATACTGAACTGTCTACTCAATGAAAATGATTTTGCTGTATGCTTCAAACGTATCCTTTGTATACTTATATTAAACTAAACTATATTAAACTTTCCGCCCGCGTGGAGTTCGGTTATATCGCGTTTCCGAGAGAACCTTTCAAATCTGGTAGAAAAACTACTCAATGTCAACTCATTGTCAAATTTCATTAAAATCAGTTCAGTGGTTTAGGCGTGAAAGCGTAACAGACAGACAGAGTTACTTTCGCATTTATAATATTAGTATTTTAAATATAGAATAGCCTAAACTTTACTTTGATATGTTATGTATATTATTGTCTATGTATGCAAACATTTTCTAAGCAAATTATTCAGAAATACAAGATCTCAAAATATCTAAGGGCCTGGCGTTAGGAGACATCTTGACAGAAATACATACAATCATACATAGAGGTAAATAAACATTATTTTTATTGTTAGACAAGACGAAACTCAGCATTCTATCAATTCGATTGTAAATCTCGAATAGTATGACGTATATCTAGTATCATCCCACATATATTCCAATTATTTGTTGCGTATTTAACAATAATTAATAAGTATATTGGAAAATAAAATCTATTTCAGTAAAATTCCCGCCGGATGTCCTAATAACGCTTCTAATTAAGATGGCGGACTCGGAGGCGCGTCTAGCGAGCGGGTGTAACGAACGAATTGAATTGGCAGCTTTAATATCCGCCTTCCAGCTTTGTAAGGAAAAAATAAATGTGAACGAATTGGCATGTTAATAAATATATTTTAATAAGATAATTATGTATACTTTTGTTTTTTTTTAACCCATGACATAGATTAAAAATTGAGATATTTTTCCTCAGAAAATAGGTAATATAAAAAAATCTTTAGTCTTAATTTTTTATTTAAATAAATTATGCATGCTTAACTTAAATATATTTACAAGAAGGTTAAATAAAATAATGTCTAACATTAACGTGACATGTACTTCAAAGTATTGTTTAAGTGATTCAAATGTCAATAAATATTAAAAAAAGTAAGAGATTCATAATAAGATCTTATACAATTACTACCTTTTAAGAGTTTCTTTTGTTTATAAATAAATTAAAAGAATAAAATACTATTGCAGTCTTACATTGAAATTATAATGTGTTTAATAATTCCTTACAACTATTCGGTAGTTACGTACTAGTACTCTGAAATTACACTACATAGGAGTGAATTTTAACTAAAGAAATGACGAATGTAATCTCCAGTATCAACATACGTTATTTCATAATAGAATAGCAATTAAACAATAATGGATCTAGCCAAATATATTAGATACGAAACTGTTGATGGAATTGGTAAATGTTGAGAACAGACCCGGCGCGGGCGGCGGCGGGCGCGGTACTGGCCGGTAATAAGGACCGCCGGCATCGATACGCTGAAAAAGTTTGACAGCTATTGAATATGACGTTGACAGACATTAGAATGACATCCACTTACCTTTTTTATTTTTGAAAATGGAACACTACAGATCATGCATTGTAAAAAATAAAGGAAGAGTTTCTATATATATTTTATAGTGATATAGAAAATATAAATACTTATTTTGAGTTTATAAAAGTACTAAAATTATATACAATATGCACAACAGTGTATGTACATGCTGAAACGATTCAGGATGCAATCATGCAATATTTACACATACTAGTGATTAATAGAGTAGAACTAGAGTAAAAACAAAAGCAACCGACTTTAAATAGAAAATTATTAATTTAAAGATATTTTCCTTTTTAAATGTTCTTTTAAAACTAAATGTAATGTGTTGTGAAAACCTTTTCAAAATATCTTTTAACAATAGTCATAAATAAATCAAAATGTTACGTACAAATCAGGTTTTAAATTCTATTTGAAGTCGGTTCATAATATACATTATAATATAGATATAATAACTTACTTTTAATAACTTCGTGGGCTGGATTTTCTTGATATTTATATAGCATTAAAACTTAGATCAGAATAAATTCCATTATATTTCTTAGTAAGCATAAAATAGACTTAAATAATATTTACAGAGAAAAGTCCTACAATATTTACATAATTGTTAAACAGAAACATTAATTTATGTGAGTGATAAAATTACTAAACAGATAACTAATAATAAAGTACGCTACATTTAGTTTTATACTTTAAACATCAGGTTTCAAACAATTAACAATTTTTTCATCCCAATAATTACGATTCCATTATCAGGCTATATGAAACAAAATCGATTTTTTCTTAAACATATCTGCCTTAATACTATCGTGTGCCAAGATTTATGAACGGTAAACTAGAAAAAGGGTGTTTAGTTTGAAGAGGAAAAACCTTGGTTAGTATATAGATATGAAAATAGCCTTCTAATTATTAATGTAATTATAAAATATATAAAAAAATGTAATATTTTTTTTTAATTTTATTTTAACATTTAACAATTATATTTGAATCATCAATAAACTCATATTAACATTGATAATCCAAAACAATTGGTCCCCTGTTATTAGGAAATGTTTTGTTAACCACAGAATATACAAGATATATAGTATATACAAGCACAATATTAAAATAAATAATTAATAATAATTAAAACACTACTTTATAAGTGTTGCCATATACATTAAGAAAGAACGAGTAGAAGCAATTATTCTGATCTCTATTAGATATAAATTTCACAAAAATTTGACCATCAATTATGAAGAAACCTTTTACGCTTATGGGTGAAGATGAATGATGATATAATTTGAGGTGATGACTTGATATGATTAGCATTACAGTAACATACATCTAGATCCCATAGAAAATGCTCGTTTCGTCTATTATGTGTAGGTATTTTTATTTAATCCTTCGGGAAGGCCACGGATTTCTTCGTTGGAGTGGTTTTTGTTAGTGGTGCGCGCGTACTCAGGCTCACGTGCCCCTATAGTGCGACTATATTACAATTTGTGTATATTGAATTATTACTAAGGGTACTAGAAATCATGTAATCATTGCAACTAATATTATTGAAGGTACATTTTGGAGGAACAAAAGTCTGTAGACAAAATGCATGTAAAAATATAATGTGTTTCATCCATGAGTAGTTTAATTAAAAAGTCCCATTCCATTAACGGCTTCGTTTAGTGCAATAACTACTTTGGCATTGGCATTTTTTAATGTCATGGTATTTATTGTCTAGTAATATAGAATGACGTTTTTCTATATATAAATTCTTATATACATCTCAGAATATATAATAAGATTTAGATAATTTAGTTCCAGATAAACTTTCAATGATTAATCGTGACGTAATTAGTTAGGATTATAAATAAATTGATACTGAAGCAATTATTGGACTGGGACTCTAGAACCTATATTGTAGGTCAGTAGGGTCCACTAAACTAATTAATCATATAAAATCCTAGTACATCGCTCTATATAATTATTTTTCTCACATTATATCTGACAGCGCGTGATCTCATCCTCATACACAGGTGTTTGTGTGATGCCATTACATAAAGACAGATAAAATTCTATAAAACGAACCTACAGACTAGAAAACCCAGTATCCATAATAAAATATAAAACCTTTTTATTTACATTAATGCTAATATAAAAGCTGGATACCTAAATCTAATTAGATAAAAAAATTATTAGTAAAACCTCCTTTGGGCCCGTTTCCATGTACATACTAGTAAATATATGTTCAGGGGCAATATTAACCAAATTCTTCCACCATTAATAATATTTATAAATAAGAATAACTTGATACATGATATAAATACTAAAATGTAATGAACTCACCTTGGCGGAATGCAGTGTTACGTTCAACAGAGTTGGGTGGCTGTCTATAACGAAGAATTCTACTTCTTGTGGTAAATATCCATCGGCTCCGACCTTATTAAATAAAATACTCTTCTATAATACGATACAAATATATACCTACATATATATTTTTTAATGGTTATGCATCTTTCAGATTTCTGAAATCCACCTCTATTTCTTTTACTCAAATTTCAAAAAACATAATATGGTAATTTTTTCAGAAATCAGCTGAGAATTTTACAACGAATATAATATATACTCTATCATTTATTCTTTATTCTAGTGGTATGTTTTGAACTGACCTCTAGTCTATAAGTTCCTGGGAGCAGTAACCGCCAGAATTCTCCGTATTTAGTTGTATGGAACGTGACCTCGCGTCCTTTAACCTTGATCGAAGCCTTTTCCACCGGGTTACCGTGTTCGTCCATCACGAATCCGTGGGCGCCGCGGTGGGCTTCAGCTAGATACTTTATAAGCGCCTGGAAAAATACATGAGAAATAAACTATTTATTTTCTCGTACTCTATAAAGTTTACACATTTATATTACTAATGGGTTTTCCAAAAAGACTATTCAATTTCTTTTATTTATGCTATAAAATAAATCTAACAGTCCTTTCGAAAACCCATTAGTAATCTTAGATATTGTTTGGATAATTCTATATATTTTATTTATGTTTTTCGATATCTCCTATCTTATCATATTCGTGTGCAGATAAATTGAGTTTATTGGGAATATATATCATTTACTGAGGTTGATTCAAAGCTAAAACTTTCGAGATGTTTGTTAAAGTTGTTATTTTATTGTGTAGTGTGATATTTGTGTATGGAGATGAAAGAGTCGCTGTAGCTAATCTGGTTTCTTTGAACGCTACTGGGAGTATATATTTTACTGAGACGGATAGCGGTTTGCGGGTTCAGGGGAAAATAACAGGTCTTAAACCCGGATTATACGGATTCCATGTTCACGAACTTGGAGATACCAGTACATGTGATGCAACTGGAGCTCACTTTAACCCTGAAGGAACCACTCACGGTGATAGAGAACATGATGTACGCCATGTTGGTGATTTAGGGAATGTGCTGTTTGTATTAAACGGCACTGAAAATGTCGCTGTGGTGGATTTTGTGGATGAACTTATATCACTACGCGGTAGAAACAGCATCTTGGGAAGAGCGTTAGTTCTTCATGAACAAGAAGACGATCTAGGTCTTGGTGGACATAATACTTCTTTGACTACAGGAAATGCAGGAGCAAGGCTCGCGTGTAGTACTATCGGGATTTATTCCGGGAATTGGAATTCCGGGATATCCACACATCCTTCTATATTGCTACTTGTCTATGGATTATTTGTTATTTTTTTTAAATATTAGTTTCATACCTGTTTGTTATCCTGCCAGTATTTCGGTAGCTCATGAGCCAGTGGGTATTTGCAGCATGAGATCTCTAAAGTAATTTCCATACATCCATGCCATAGGTAGTTGTAGTCTTGCATTCCGCCTGTATAATAAATCGTTAAAGACAGTTGTGTAATGTATTATTAAACAAATATTATATAAATGATAAAATACAATCTTGGCTCTCAATTGATAACAACTCTGTATAACTGATTTAAACATTCTTTTAATGATTAATAAATTTATTGCCAATAACAAAAAATCTTTTATTTTTATGACATTGACGTGTTCTTTATTACTTAGGATTATATAAATATGGTCAGATGACCAAGGTAGATACCTTTACTAACTCTCTCGCATTAAATTCATACACTCTTTTCTTGCTTATTTTGGGTTACAATCTTTGTATAGTTCTTTAAACCTAGAGACCATATTTTGACTTTTACGGATGTGTAGTTAATGTTACAATTAATGGCATCATCATCATGAGCCTATCAGAGCCCACTGCTGAGTAAAGGCTTCTTTTCCCATGAAGAAGATATGAGCGTTAGCCAC